TGCATCGGAAAAATGTTCCGTGCCAAAAGCTCTGTTTTTATGAGTAAATTGAGCATAACTTCTTAATTATCAAAAATTATTGGTTGAAATTTTTATCAAATGCTAGTTATATTAGCTTTTATATTTCCTGAAATTTTCATCGAAATCTGTTGTATCGTTTAGAAGATAGGTTTCGGAGTGGGGGTTCCCCCTTAAGAGAATATCCGGAAAATAAACAAGAGACTATTGAAATATGAGTGAGTTCGGAAGAAAATAAATTATGTAATTTAATATTCTCACAATTAATCACTTGTTATCAACAATCAAATGACACAAACAAATAATTATTCTTCTGTCGCGATCGAATAAATACAAAGTAATTTGTCGGCATCATTAATTGAAACAGTTCGTATTTAAAATTTCAATGTTGTCTTTTTCTAATCGAAAGACATCAGTGACATCTGTTGACGAAGTTTGTTTATTGGTTATATTTTGACCGAAGACAAAAACTTTCACGTCACACAAATACGTAACGTACAACGTGGACAAGCGATAGACCACGTAGTAAATCAAATACTTAATTCATCTAAAAATGGTTCTAATGACAATGATTGGCCGTGTGGCCGATGGTCTACCTCTTGCTGCATCTGTTCATAATGATATGCGTGATGAAGTAAGACTTTTTTTTATTTATTTACTTTTGTTGATTTTCTGCTTGATTTTAAATGATCAGTCGGGTCGTAGTGGTACGGAATATCAAAATCAAGCAAAAAATATACTTCGTCGTTTATCTTCAAATTCTCCATCAAAAGCAAGCATTGAAAGCGATCCATATGTTTTTCAGTATATACATATTTGTCATTGAAATTCTGTCATTTATTTTTTTATTGAATTTTAGTTGTTTAATTGATCATGATGTTTGTTATATAACGTTATGTGAAAAAGCATTTCCACGTAAAAATGCATATGCATATCTTGAAGATCTTGCACAAGAATTTATTGCACAATATGGACAAAAAGTTCAGTTAGCTGCTCGACCATATTCATTCATTGAATTTGGTTCGTTATGAAAATTTTCCTTATTTTTTTCAAATGGAATATATTTTTTTCTTAGATAATTATATTCAAAAAATGAAAAAACAATATGCTGATAGTCGAACATCTCGTGAAGCAATGAGTCGTTTAAGAACTGATTTACGTGATGTACAAAATATAATGGTTACGAATATTGAAGATGTTATGTCACGTGGTGACACAATACAAGGTAATAATAAGAATCTTTGTTTTTCTTGCTGTTTAGTAGCCGCAGTATTACGACACGTTCCAAATCGAACTAACACACTCGCAAAAGATCGTAAATCGTCTATTATGGGATATTACATGGCTTCGTATTACTATTGTAATACTGTGCCTATCAAATGTCAGTTTAGAGTTATTTACTACCACAAACTGTATGAGACTTTCGCTTTTCTCCGAGTAGATGAATGCAATTATCTGTATTTACACTATAATACTGTTGTATATTGCCTTTCATGACCTGATACAGCACGTAAACGGACCGTGCTTTCACTATTTACGGTTGTTGCATATGTACGGTGAGCTTATTATGGTACATCAGAATACGAATCAAGTCGTTTAATCTGAGACGCCAATAAGACTTCTGCCACCTATATTGATCGATACATCTATGTGTATTTTTATCGTAATTTTGCCGTATAGAGTCGTTTACAATTCCGTATGACATGTAAGCGGATAGTATTCTCTCGTAATTCTTCGGACAACAATATACAGTGCTATTTTGATGACTATAGTCATTGTCCTATGATATATTTAATATGATTGTTTTTTATTTAGATCTTAATCGAAAAGCAACAAATCTTGCGTCTATGTCTCAACAATATCGTAAAGACGCAAATTATTTAAATCGAATGTCATCATTAACAAAAATTGGTTTAACTGTTGGAAGTATTGTTATATTATCTCTTATTGCTTATGTTTTTATTTTTTAAAACTTCTTTGTCTCGTTATCCTCTTTGAATTTTATGTTTATTTTATTTATTTCTGTGTATTCGTTATTATCCATTTAACAAAGATATTGAAGAGAAAAGAAAAACAACGAATTGATTGTAGATTTTTTTTCTAATTCACTAAATTTAATTGATGCTCATGTTATTTCGCAGAAAATTTGAAAATCTTAATAACAATTGTACTTTTCTTATAGAATTAGACATCATAAACAGATTGTTAGTACTCATCAAATTGTCATTGAATATATCTATTAATTACATTCGATGTTAATCGCTCATATTTATTTTACTGATAAATAACATTCACAATGCAGTAGTACTAACAAAAGTTTTCGTGTATTTTCTATTTTTGTTTTTTTTTTATCAAAATATAGGTTTCAGCGTGTGTATTATTATGAAGAGTGGGTTTTTTTCTGCACAAAATAAAACATTAAATGTGAACTGTTATATTCTAAAAGTCAAAGAAAGAGCAATATTAATATGTCTAAGTGTTCATTTTTTGTCTGATGAATTAGGTGTAGTTGGTGGCTTATGCTCGTCGTCATTTGAATGTTGAGATATTTGTCCTTGATCTGGCATTGAAGACGATTGATTTTTATCAGGAGAAGGTAGAGGTGGATCATACTGAGTGCCAACTGATGCATTTTCTACAGATCTAAATTGTTCATGATAGTACGGTAAACTTTGTTCATTAGTATGAAATGTTGCAACTGTATTAGATTGTTCAGTATAATATGGTTGTTGATATGAATGAGTGTTAATTGGATTAATTTTATCCGGTGAAACCATTCGACCTACTAATCGAATAGGAACTCCATTTCTAATACCAAAATGACTTAATGGTTCATTTGATCGTGAATGTAATTCTTGTCCTTGAAAGACAAGATTTTGTAATTCACGTGGTACACGAAAGTTATGTTCTACTGCATTCATTAAATCTGCAACAGTTGGTTCAGCACCACCATAAGCAGGTACAGATATTTCATGTACATCACCGCCAAAATGAACTTGAAGCTTAACACAAAAACTTGTCGGATGATACATAACTTTACTTGAATAATTTTCTTATAAACGTACAATAATAAATTAACAGTTTTATTCTTTTCAACTTTTTTTTTGTTTCACTTTGCAAACAAAACGTTGCTAATGGAGTTAAAAGGGGGTTAAAGCAAGAAAGAAGGAATGTCGATGCTTTTATTTGATCCTATAAAATTCTATTGTTTAAAGTTGTAACAAAGACAAACGATCAAAAGTTTCTATTAGAAGAAAAAGTAGTAATGTTTATACAATCAAAAATCGTACTATAACATAAGAGAACGTCCATGTCACTTTTTTGCTATGACGTAAGAAAATTGATTTAAACAAAAAAAAACAACAATTATGTTTTTGATCATTATTATCTATATAAATGATCAACTTGTCTAATTGTTGCTATTTCAACTTTCCATTTATCACCATTTTCAAGAAGTTTTTATTATAAAGTCATTCTTTACATGTTTTTGTTTAATACTCAAAATTGGAAACCTAGAAGCAAAGTAATCAAGATAAACAACGAGAAATAAATTATATTCTAAGCTGGGCAATAGCATCAACAGGATAGACTTGTTAATAAAAACTACAAGAAATACGTTTAGTTATAATGATATCATAAAATGTTTTAGTCTATACAAACATTCGATATTTTCATGTGTACCATGTCATTATAGTCAAGAGAAGAGTATATCAAATCTACTTCTCTATATGATTTAGAACCATTTATAAATTCTTAACTAAAATTTGTTACGCATTCCTCAAAATCTACTATAGTACTGGTTAAAAATATAAGACCAGTGTACTGCTGATTTTTTTCTACGATATTAAACATTGAATTCAAATCCAAATAGGAGTTTGAAAAGTCAATGAAGTTCTCTATCAAAAGCATTCCATACAGAAATTTTATAGATGAACTATGAGAACAATGTTTCTCAAAAGCCAAATACAGTAGTTTTTAGACCCCTGAAGACTGTATGACAATTAGTTTTTAAGAATACCATCTTGGAGAATACAAAATCCTGAATAGGACATAGAGTTGCCGTATTTCCTACGTAGGAAATGTGACAGTCTCTCATTTTATTTAGGACTTTATACTCTTTCAAATGATACTCTTAACAACTCATTTTCACAGTATTTAGAGATCTAAAAAAATAAACTGTTTGATTTTTCAGAAACATTCCTCTCATAGTCCATGTATGAAACTTCAGTATGAAATACATTTGATGAAGAACTTCATTTGTTGTTCAAACTACTATTTGGATTTGAGTTAAATGCTTGATATCGTAGAAAGAAAATAAAAAATACACTGGTCTTATATTTTTCACCGGGATTATAGTACTAACTCGATTAAAAAAATATTTTCAATTTTTCATTATGTATACTATAAGAAATCACCTATTTATGCTGAACAAATAGCTTCACAAAGTTTACATGCAATACAACGTTTTTTACCAGATGTGTAACATCTCCAAGTATGTTCACCTCGAAAACGTTACAAATAATCATTTCAGTTCATAAGAAAGATCAACAAAACAAAAAAAATATCTTATTGACGAAAGTGGATCTATCTCCAGTGACTGATTGATTCACGTAATAATCAACCAAGGACAATCATAAAACATAAATAATACACTTAAATGATGCCATTAAATCTAATAATAAACCTTTGAATATATCAAGTGATAGTAATGGTTCACTGATATTAACTAATTTTTAAAAAAATGAAAATAGATTATCATATTTTCGAAAGCAAATAGAGAAATGTTATGCTAACATTTAAGAGTTGGATTGTCATTGACTTTATATTTTTTCAAGTGTTCTTTGTCGTTATTTTTTAAGATGCATTGGAATAAAACTTTTGCATAGACGTTGAAGCCTCAAGGCTACTCTAAATTCATATATAGTATTTTAGGATAAGTTAAAACATTATTTTCTTCTTCTATGAGATTGATAGATTTGAGCAGCACATTACTATTCTTGTACAAATGTCAATAGTTTTCGCCGCCTGAGGCAGCTAATAATAACATTTTCTTACTCAGACCGACTGAGAAAAGATTGAGTTTTGTATAAATATTGAATCATACATTGGCAATGACTTGAAATAAGGATCCTTTATTATAGGTGAAGAAAAAAAATGTACGAAAAACTTGAGTAAAATTAACAAGAATTTGTCACACATTTCTCTCACTTTCGATGATTAAGATTATATGCCTATTAAAATATTTTCAACAGTGAATAAAAATCACAATGAAATATTATATTTTTTTTGTGAACATTTCTTCTTCGCTATTAAATTTTATTTTTAGTAAAACAAAATCATGAACTTTTCCTTCGAATGGATATAAATCTTCGTATGCTTCTTTGAATGCATGTCTTTTTACGTAAGTTGTGAAATTTCTTTTTCTCAGTTTTAACTTCCAGGTTTCGATCTTATAAAAAATGTCAAGTCTGCTCTTAGAATAAAAAACTTCCGCCATCTATGAACTTTTGAATAGTTCTCAAGAATGACATTCATTATTGTTGTCTCGAAAGAAAAATTGATCGAGTAATAACCAAACTTCAAGAGAAGCTGCCAATGAAAAATAAATATATTAATATATGTTTAGAAATGAAATATTTCGTAAATTACCAATACACAAAAGCTTAGTAATAGTTGATGTGATAATCATTTTTTAATAAAAACTTTTTTTTCTAACAAAAAAACTCGAAATGAATATTTGATTGTGGCGCCCTCGTATAGAAAAATAAATTCTGTTTTCAAGTAGATTTGTGATTCTATTTAAGATTTACTTCTTTTTTTTTTCAAAGTTCAACATAAAACCAATAATGTGTTTGTTATTACTTTCAATTAACTTACAATTGGTTAAATAATCAAAGACAGAAAGAAGCGGAGAAAAAGACGAGAAAAAGAATAAATGACGTCTTTTGAAGCAAAAGCATATTCTCATTGATAATTACTCGTAATTTCAATTATCTTAATCTAGATATTCAATAAGGAAATTTGTTGTTTGTTTTTATTTAAAAAAAAAAAAAAAAAAGAAAGAATTAGAAATAGATAAAATAATTTCATACATAAATCTATTTATGGGTTTGTTTATTTACAAAAGAAAAACAAAAAAGATCTTCTTATCACATAAATTTATCTCATTTGAAATGTCAAAAACCAAGATAAAGTAATCGAACTAAATTCAAAACAATGACTCATCGAAATCATTCTAATAATGGTCAAATCTATTAATGACTCATACAGAGTTTGTTTTCTTTTTTTTTTTTCAGAAATAAACAACAACAACCAGGGTTATGTCATCTGAATGGCCCGATGCACAACTATCAAATATACAGAAGAGTATGTAAATAAAACATGTCGAACTTTTTTTTGTTTTGATTTTCGTTTTTTTTTTAGCTTTGCAAAACAGTTGGCAAATTCCATATATATCATTATTTGCTCGTATATTTTGTGATGCTTTTCAATTATTTGATTTTCATCAAGAAGAATTAGAAGATGCTTTATTATCGGATAATCCAAACGAAATACATCCATTTTTACAAGAACTTCTCATATCTCTTCTCTCCGGATTGACACGGTTACATGTCAAGTAAAATAATTCTTTGTATAAGAACATAATATTGAAGAAATCGTTTTTTTGTTTCTAGTTCGAGTAATATGTTTGTTGTACTTACCAATGCACTCAAACGATGTGATCTGAATATTAATTTTTCGACTCCATCAACTACAATGACAGTATCTGATGATTCAATAGCAACAACAGATTGGCATGAAATGTCTATTTTTGAAAAGGTTACTGTACTTCGTGCTTTATGTGACGCACGATTAAATAAAGCTGATATTGATCAAGTAACTGAGGTAAGAATATAATAAAATCATAATTTCTGTTCACTTTTTTGTTCTCTCTTTAGAATATGCCAGCTGATTCTCTTCGTTTTGAACCATTTGGTGAAGATTCACGTGGAAATAAATTATGGTATTTTGGTGATACAAGACTTTATTGTGATTCACGGAATAAAAATACTGAGTAAGTTTAATAAATTTTCAATATAGATACTATGAGTGGCGTAGCCAAGGGGAGGTAAATAGATAATTGCCCATTTTATTTTAAGAGTTGCCCATTGTAATTTTTGAAAACTAAGATTTTGTTCATTGAATTTTCTAAATTGTTTAGTTTTTTCCTGCTGCATATATCTATAAAGATCTCAATATAAATCCAGATGAAATATGCAAATTATATACACAAATGCATCATCATAGTCTTGATTTAGGTGTTTGAATTTGGAATATAAATCTTATAAATAGAGACATTCAAAATAGACTAAGCACACATGACTCAGTCTTAAAGTCTCTCCACCTTCAAAAATCAGTATCAGTTCAGGAACATTCGGAGAGTATGTTGTAGCAGTAGTGGAAAAGCTATGGTAAAACTTTCAGTTCTATACCATGATGTTTAACGGAGATATCAACCAAACAAAGTTCAAAAATAGCTGATTCGGCATTGCAAATTTTGTTGGCACAGGATCTTTATATTTATTTAGTCTTTTTGTTTTGGTTGAAACAACATGTCAAAATGCAGGACACCAAAGGCTCATTTTTTTTTTGTATTTTTATTTCTTGAAAGGAGAGAAGGAATTACAAGTTTGATGAGTCAAAAAGCTCTAAAAATGGAGCTCAATTTATAAAAGTGATTGTACATATAGCAGAAAAAAGCTTAACTAAAAAGAAAGACTCTTTGGTGTCGCACGTTTTGACATGCTGTTTCAAACAAGAAAAATTCAATGCATACAGGGTGGTCCAAAAGTAACCGAGCAGGCTTTGATTGGGAATAACTTTTGATAGGAACAAGATAGAGAGCTTCGATTTTTATTGTATAAAAGAGAAAACAAACTGCATCGAATCTTGAATACCGGATTTTTATAAGAAAATTTTGTCATGGTTTTCGGACAAGTTTCTTTTAAAAACTTAGGCTTTTTAAATAGGTCTAAGAGGTGGATTTTTCGTCAAAAAATCAGAGAAAACGTCGGCTTTTTGCCAAAAATCTGCTAAGAGCGCGTAGTAAAATGTTAAGAACTAATGATTTACTAAATCCTCTTGGCATTGAACCTACACAGTTTATTGAACTTTAGTTAACGATTCTGATGCACTACTGAAAATTAAAATTCTAAAACTTTCACATTACACAATAATTTCAATTACAAAAAATTTCTGAAGACTCCGAGTAAAGTATTGTCATAAAAATCTGCTATTTAAGATTCAATGCAGTTTTTTTCTCTTTTAAACGATGAAAACTGCAGCTCTCTATCTTGTTCCTATCAAAAGTGATTCGCAATGAAAGACTGCTCGGTTACTTTTGGACCATCCTATACAATTAGCCTAGGTAGAAAAGTTTGGGTTGAGCGTTCGACAAATCATCGAACTAAGAAAAAATGAAAAAGATTTTTTTCGATTTCACCACAAAACCAGCTTATTTTTCAAGTAGGTAGTGACGGAAAACATCAACATTTTTTTACTAAAACGATGTACGAAATAAAAAGTTATGTCTCGTTTGAAAGGACAAACTTCCGACTATCTTTCCATACTCATCTCAATTTTAAAGTTTTTGACGAAAAGTGACTTTTCTGAGGGAGGGGAGCTTAAGATCTGACTTTTATGCAAATTTCATTAAGAGAAGCTCGTTTCATTTTGTTATGTTTCTTTTACGCTGTTAGTACTTGGTTGGCTAAAAAAGCATTTGGCCCATCAATGAAAACCTTGCCCATTTCTCCTATCATTTTTTTCTACCATAAGAGATATTTGTCGATTGGTCTAAAAATCCTGGCTAGGCCACTAGATACTATAGGACTTGGCAATAAAATCTTCACTCAAAATGATCTCGGTCAATATATATGCGCTGAAGGTCTGAAAATTTCTGCACACGCACTTCACTAACAATGTGGATTATTGGCACTGGAGCGCCATTTTTGCTAAATGATAAAGAGAACTATGATGAATGGCACCTATTTTGTGGAATTCATATAGACTTTTGAAGAAATGCCTACGTTTAAATTGAGTTTGTGGCAGCCCGCCCAGACTCGAGCAACTGGAAGTGAAAGCGAAGTCTCTGAACTGATTAATTGTTTTTGAGTTGGTGCCAATCTACTGCATTTTTATGGTATTTTTTAAATGAATACGGTGGTTTTCCACAGACAAATTGATTTTCAAATCTTGATTTGAAACTTTGTATAAAGACAAGCCTTAATGAGAGTAGTTTCAGCTCTTTTAATTTGCTTCAATCATGAAATAAGAACATCGGATTAACCAGTGTATACGAGCAGTATTAAAAGATACGCATTTACCAAAGCTATATCTCAGAATAGGAACAAAAGAACAAAACTTGAAATGTTGACAAAAAATTGTTCTCGTTAAGGATTGCCTCTGTGCAAATTTTCGAATGAAAATTCGAAAATCAGTTTCTCTGATGTTCCCAAGAAGAACCACCGTATTTATTTAAAATATAGCATAAAAATGTAGTGTCTCCGCAGCAATATCATTAACTAGTTGATGAACTGCCAACATTCGATAATTCTGAAACTTTCTAGAATCTTCTAAAACATTCTGATAACATAAGGTTTCTATGGTAGATTTAAATAGTCTAAATATTGCAACTTTTAGTATTTAATGCAGCAAAAGGATCTTATTGTAGATGTCAGTTAGTAATTATGTATTGAGGATGTATTTGACAACACGAATAAGTCTTTTTCAGTATTACGATGTTTAATGAATGAAATAAATCGCTAGAATTTTCGAAATGATAAAATTTTAGATCTCACCTATCAACGATAAAACTTGTCATAATTTTGCTTTTTTTCATTTATATGCCATTTTTTAAAGAGATAATTTTAATTTCTCTGGCAATACGCCATAAATTTATAACAGTCAAAGTTTGTAAGTTCTATAACATTAACTTCACATGAGACCGCACTGACAAGTTATTTCTTTCTAAGCGTTATAAAACCCCAAAAAGACTGCTTACAGAATTTTGTACTGTTTCTTACAAAAATTATAACTGATTCTTGATATTTTAAAATGTAGCTGAAATTCTGTCTACGTTCTTTCTTCATTCAAAAGATAAGTTCATTTGCTTGAATATTGATGTTTCTGGATTTTTAGAATCCCTCTTTGAAAGAATTTACGATCTTCAATGAAATTAATAATATAGATAGCTGAAACGTAACATTACAGATTGAGGGATCGGATAACACAGAATCCTCTCGCTTTTCAGAATCATGAGACTGACAACCAAAATTGAGATATCATCCAAAATAATCTTTTTGTTTTATTAAGTAATAACAGTCGTAAAATGTCAATAATCTACACTTTCGGTGATGTTCATTTAAACAAATTTCTAGATCTCTTGTGCTTAATATAGTAGCCGAGATCCCCTAGGATAGAGACTTTTATTCACTCTTGTATTTGTGAGACTACTAAACATTAAGAAATTAATGATATTAATATATTTTATTATATTTCTAGAACATCAACATGGGAATGTGTATGTCGTACATTAGACGAATGGAATGTTTTTATTGAAAATTTTCGTAAATTATGTTCAAAAAAGAATTCGAGTATTAAAGATCGAAAATTATTAGAACGTCTAATAGCATTGAATGCTGATTTACCCGATATATATTCACGTAAAGATCGTGAAAGACATCGTCGTTGGACAACATATGAACCAAAACGTACATCAACACGTCTTGAAGCTAAACGACAACAACGTCTTGAATTAGAAGAAATAACACAAGAACAAAAAGCACGACATGATAAATTTCTTGAATTTAAAAGGCGACAAGAAGAAATTATTGCTAGAGAAAAAGAACGTCTAGAACGTAATGAACGTGTTAAAAGAAGAGAAGGTAAAGTTTAGTGTTTATAAAATATTTAACAAAAAAATATGCTTGCTTATTGTTTTTAGAACGTGCAGATCGAATTCGTCGACGAACAGCAGCTGGATCATTACAAGGTATTGATGGTTCAGAATTTTCAGAAAATAGCAATACATCATCAACATTAAATGATGAAAATCATCATCCAATTGATACTCATGATATACATCAAAAAGGTATAAAATAAGTATTAATATTTATGATTTTGAATTATGTCATATGTTTAGTATTAACACTATTAAGAACAAATGAAAATAGTTGGCCATTTCTTGAACCTGTTACTGAAGAATTAGCACCAAATTATTTCTCAATAATACAGGTTATTAAATAATTCTTTATAATTCAAACTAATTTTGTTTTTTTTGTGTTACTTTTAGAATCCAATAGATCTTTCAAAGATACAACAAAAAATAAATAATAAAATTTATGTTAATAATTCCGCAGAATTTATTCAAGATATTGAGTTAATGGTTGCTAATTGTGAACAGTACAATGGCAAACGAAGCAGTAAGAAAAAATCAATTCTATTTATGTTGTTTTTCTTATTTATCATTTTTTTTTTAGTATTAGGTCGATTAGCTAATCGTCTTCTATATTATTTTAAAGAATGCTGGTCTGAATGTCAACCAGTTACACCACAATTTGATGATGATATAGATGTTTTAAATCATAGAGAAAATCCATTAAGAAAATCAACAATTATAACACGAGATAAAAATAATAATACAAGAACAAGAAAGAATTATCGACAATTAGCTGGTCTAAGTGATGATGATGATGATGATAAGGAACCTGAATATATGCCAATACCAAATTCGAAACGAGTATGCTATATTAATTAATCAAGCTAGAGATATATACAGGACTATCCTAAGCTACCATACAATTCTATAGATCAAGTTGTCTATCTAATATTAATTTGTTTTTATTTAGGCTCGTCATTCAGTTCCTCCTGTACCAATATATATAACTGTTGATGCAAATTCTCCTGCATATGTTGTTTATCATGATCATTCATATTTTATTCGTCATGAATCAATAGATGAATTACAACGACGTAAAACATCAATTCCAACAAATAATATTCAATCGAATATAGAAGAAAAACCATCTGTTCAAGTTCTTAATCAATTACTTCTTGAACGTCCACAAAAAACGAAAATTTTTCAATCAGATTCTTCAACATCAACAACTCCTATTGATTTTACTGCTATTCTTCGTGCATTATTAGTTAAACAAGGACATCAATTAACATCAACTATACCTAAAGAAACACTTGAAACTAAAATAAATGATAATACATCTCCGTTTTCATCATCAACAGCTACTTTATAATAATTTATTCTACATAGTTTTTCGTTCTTTTTTGATCATGTAGAAAAATAAAACCCCTATGAGTATGTTTCTTTCTTCCTTTTTTTCATTGTATGTGTATTTGTGTATGTTTTTTTTTTTGGATGCTAATGAAACAAAAAAGAAATCGTATAGCATACGAAATTTAAAATTGTACAAATCTGTCTCAGTTTTTATTTCTTTAATGTTAAAAAAATGATAAATGTTAAAATCTGATAAAAAAAAAGGTGGGGGGGGGGGGCGGGGGTAAGAGGTAAAAATAATAAGTAACTACGTAATACAAAATAACCAAACGAAATAAAAAAACCAAAAAAAAAAAAACGGCTTTGAATTTAATTTGTTTAGTTGTCAAAATCATCGTTACTTGATTGATTTAATTGCGATAGTGGTCGAATAGGGTGAACTAAAGCACTGATTGCTGAATATTTTTCACCAGCTGTTGGTACTGGAAGATTTGTTTTTGAAACAAATTCATGTAAAGCTGATGTTCGTTCGTTTTGTCCAGGTTGTGTTGGACGTCGATCAACAACATTGGTATTTGATGGTCGAGCCTAAATAGTTAATGAAATTAGCTTTTTTTTGTTTTGAAGGAAAGAAAAGGAAAATTTTACATTAAGATAATCATATTGCGGCATATTGACTGCTGATGGTGATGTTGAATCACGGAATTTTCCTTCTCCATGAACACTTGATGATGCATAACCACTTGTAGGTGAAGGTGATCGATTACTATTAATATTTGCTGATGGTGATGAGTCACGCGAATGACTTTGTTCACGATAGAAGTTATTTGTATTCGATGGTATTTGTTTGTTTTCATAAGATGATGAATGAGAATATGTTGGTTTTAAAATTGGATTTTCTGAAGTAATTACATTCGTTGCTTCATTATCATTCGAATAATCATGTGAATGACTTTGTTCACGATAAAAATTATTTGTATTCGTTGGTATTTGTTTATTTTCATATGATGATGAATGAGAATAAGTTGGTTTTACAAGTGGATTTTCCGATAGAATCATATTTGATGTTTTATTATCATTCGAGTATTTTTGATTACTGAATTCCTGTTGATTTTCATTTATTGTTAAACGAGAAAAATTATCTATGAGAAAGAGAAAAAAAAAAGAATATTTCAAAAAAAATTGCTTTCTTATATACCTGATATATCAATTTGATGATCGCGACTACTTTGTCGTCGATAAGTATCTGTTGATATTGGTGATGGACTTCGAATTCTTTCATCACTGTATGTTGGTGTTATTGGCTTTTCAATTCTTTCAATTTTTGAATCTGATCGTTTAGGTGGTGAAATAACAGGCATATCAATAATAGCTGATGTTCGATTAGCATAATATGTTTTTTCATCATCAAATACATATTTATTTCGATCATCTTCTCTATTAATTGTTGATTGACGATAATTATTATTGCTATTAGTTGATTCAATAACTCTTTGAAAACCAATTTGACTAATTGGTCGTTGATTATTTTTATCAGCAATATGATCACGTTCCGTATTGATTGGTGGTGAACGTTGTTCAGGTAAAACATCATTACGCCATGGAAACATTTTTGGTAATTCATCATTAAGTATAGCACCATGTTCACCACGAAGTGTATTATCATTTGAATGTGCACGTTGTCGTGTTTCTTGATGTGTTATAATTGGTGCATCAAGATCACTACCATAAGATGAACGACGTGAAGGACGACTTTCACGTGCTGGAGTTTCCGTTGTCATTGTAACACCACTAGCCAAACCATGAACACCAAATTGTCTTGTATAACATGTTTTACAATAAATTTCACCTTTATGCTCAGATAATATTGTTGCATTTAATTTTCGATTACATGTTCGACAACTAAAACATCGAATATGAAATGACTAAAAGCAAAAAAGAAAAAATAAAAGCATTTAATATTATTTTTTTTTAATATTTTAAATGAATTTGAATACATACACGACCAGCTCCAACTTTTTTTTCTGCTAAATAAACATTTTTTGAGCATCGAGCACATTTATCAGAACCACCACCGTATGTTGGCATTGCTCCGTTTTGTTGTATACCTTGATTTTGTCGATTGACAACAGGGCTATTGGTAGGTATGATACCTGTAATTGCAGACTTTCTTGTTGTTTTTGGACTACCAGTAACGCTACAACGAAAAAAATGATGGCAAATATAATGAAAGAAAAATATTTCTGAGATGTGACATTATATGTTATGTGTTTTTTCGATTGCTCATAGAATACAAAAAAGACTCGATTTTTTTTTTATTACTATTAACCTATGGTATTGGTTTGAATAGAAAAAGAAAAAAAACTTCTGATTCTTACTCAGCCATATATTCTGAATAATTCACACGGTATGTTGCAGTAGCAGTTGACATATTGTGTTTTTTCGTTTTCGATAGGTCAATAACTTATAAATTATGCTGTACACTGTTTTACATATATATACATATTTTACAGTATGTTACACCTACTCAGTATTTTTGTTTCGTTTATTCAGAGGTATTTTTCTTCGTTCTTCCAAAAAAAACAACAACATGGTTTCGATGAGCAATCAATACAGATAATGTGGGTAGAGAAAAAACAAGAATGTCGTCGAAAGTTACCCGTACGTAATAAATCACACACGTGCAAACTTTTACTGACTCATAGCTTTCATCCAAAATAAATAGTCATCATTTTAAAAATGAATCATAATTGTACATAGACTCTGAAATATTATGTAGGTGGATGTGTCTAATATGGTTAGAAAACAAAACACTTAAAACACTTCAACTACTGACAGCAGTTAGTCAGACATATTACTGCTTTATTTTTAACAATGATGTTTGTCGTGAATAACAAAATAACAACTGATATATTGTTAACTTATATGAAAAGGAAAAACAAAGAGAGTGAAAACGAATATAGTGATAACTTTGAACTAACTATAGTATATATATATATATAACTATACATTGTATGGATAGTCTATTCCATGTCACCAATCAATTTATAGAATTGAAGAGATTGATACAAAGCACATGAAAATATTTAAAATCTAGGTATGAACATATTTGATGTTATCGATCAAAAATTTGTTTATCATGTATCAAATGACAAGAATTAAATTATGAATCAAAGTTCGAGAGTTCTTTTTTCGCATAGAAATCTTTTAAAGATTTCATGCCCATCATTGTCAGTGTTTGAGGTCTTGCTTCTTTTTCTTTCTGTGGCTGAAGCCATACAAGAAAAATAGAATGCGTCATATAAATATCTTTCATCTGCTTCTGACTCAGATATCATATATCATAGAACGTAATAAACAAATGATAAACAAAAAATTCTTGTTTATTGGTTGCTGACAATCTTAGAAAAAAAAATGACAAACAACTTTAAAAACAAAAAAAATCACACAAAACAACGTTACAAAAAGTGAGAGAAACTACGCGGGAGATTAATTTATTTTTTAGTTTACGATTTGGATCTATTCGAACAATGAGTGATACAATAGAAACCGCACTGGCTAATACTGGTCTTATATCATTATCTGAAAAATCTGATGAAATAAACAATAAAATTGATTCAAATATTCTTTATCCAATATTAAATGATGCAATAGTAGCAGTTAAAGATGAAGAAAAGCGAGTTGATGATGCTCTTATTAAACTTACACCATATCCAACACTTGTTGAATTAAAATCAATTATTGATGAAGAAAAATCAAATGTATCTACTATTATTGAACCACCATCAATTGAACCATTAAAAAATTTCATTGAAAAACGTTCTATAACAATAGAAGGATTAAAACAACTTCGTATTCGTATGACTAAACATATTAAAAATTGTAAAATTTCAAATACAGTTGGTAATTCAGCTTCAATTATTGGTGGAATTTTATGTTTTATTTTTCCACCAGTCGGTGTACCTGTCCTACTTGCTGGTAGTGCTACAAGTCTTGGTATAAATTTATTTTTTATCAATATATTTAATTTTATCCAAAGATCTATTTTTTATTTTATAGGAACAACTATCACAGAAAATGTTATTGAAAAACGTCTTCGAACAGAATATAATGATTTATTAAAAGAAGATTTATTAGCAATGAAAGTATGTGAATCAAATTTAAAAGATATAACAGCATGGCTCGTAACAGTTTATTCACTTGGTTATTCTGTATCAAAAGCTGGAGTTAATTTTGTAAAACTTTCTGAATCTATTCAAGCAGCTTCAACATTAGGAACATGGAGTGAATTAATTGGACAATTACCATCATTAGGTACTGCTCTTGCAACTGGTGCTAAAACAGCTGGAACTATAAGTGGAAAAATTCTTGGTATATCAGTTATTATTTCTGTTGCTGATCTTATTCAAACATGGATATCAAAAAATGCTACATTAACATATATTGATAAAGATATATCATTACTTGAACAACAATTAATTGAATTAAAACGTATTGCTGATGTTTATCATGCTTAATTAGATTTTTTCTGTAATTCTTAATAGATGTTTCATTCATTGTTACAATAAAGATTGATTTATTGATTTAATATAGATTGTCATAAAAACAAAACAAAACAAAAATAAATATTTTACAATCGAGTTATTTCATGATCTTCATTGTAATGTATCGGATCATCAGCTATCACACGTTGGGTATTCAAAGAACTATCATTTTGATTAGAATCTATAAATTTCCAATTGAAATAAACAACTGCACAAGCAATACCAGAGATTAATCGTATAGAAAAACCTGATAAAGCCATTGATAAACCCATTCGACGATTGTTATATACTTTACATGTTCGTCGAGCATAACAATCTGTAAGCCACACTAAACATGATTGATCAAAAACATAGCCAAATAACAATGGACCAGTTGTTTGTCCTAATACTCGAACAATAGTTTGTCGAAGAGCAAGTGCCATATTTTGATAAGATGGTGAAACACTATATAGAAGTACTTGTAACATTGGAACTTGAATAAATGCTGTGAAAAAAACTACAAATGTAGCACCAGCCATTGTTAAAGCAAACATTGTCGTACCTATAGTAGAATATAATTAGATAATCTATTTTGTTTATGTAATAAAAAAAAACCTTACAAGGTATTCGTCGAAATCGACAAACAGTTTCACTAACAATTGTATCTTCTGCGCAATTACATGATGAATATAGAAAAGTATTACTACTTTTTATAATTGTTTGATTGGCACAACCAAAATGACATGGTGATAAATACATTTTACGAGCATCATTTATATCACATACTAAATAAAAGACATACAAAGAAAAAAAGAAAAGAAAAAAATCTTATATTAATATAAGATTTTTTTTTTTTGTATTTTACCTGGATGATAAATATGTTGACAACACAGTGTATTCATAGAAGAACATGACGTATGTTGAAATTTAAGTTCAGGACAAGAAAAAATAAGAAATAAAAAAAGAAATGATGAAATTGTTAATATTATGGTACAGATACGTGCACATTGCATTGGTGTCCAAGAGAATTTATTGATAAAATAGGCACCTATTGGACAACCAATAATAACTGATAGTAAAGCAATGGCACCGGTTATTAATGTAGCTGTTGATGTATCCAATTGATGTTGATATTCAAAATATTTAGTAATAAATGGTACAAAGCCTAAAATAAAATTGTCGATCGTTTTAATTATTAATAACATTCAACAACAATAAAGAATTTACCTTTAATTAAAATACCTTCGAATAGATTAGCAATAATAATAAAAATATAACGCATATTTTTCATAAGTTTAGAAATGACAAAACACATATTTTCTAAATCTTCGTTGTTTGTTTGTTGTTGAACGAGTGGATTTTCTGAAATAGTTGTCGCTGATGGTACTGAATTAGTAGTCGGTAATTGATTATAGAGTGTATCAGTTGAAAATGCATGATTAATGATACCATTACTAGTATTATTATCTGTTGCCGACGATATCAATTGAGATGGGTTTTTATTTTTCAAATCAGAAAATGACTCAGATAAAATATTATCGGTTGTAGATGTTGACGGACATGTCGTAGTCATAGTATCAACTGGTGGACTATACGCTCGATTAATTGATGCATCTAAATCAAAAGAAAAAAAAATATTTTATTTGTATACAATATCATTATTTACGATTATATTGTTGTTGAGCAGATACCGTTGGAATTATTTTGTTATTTCTATCAGTCGAATGTTTTTTACCAGGTATTTCATAATTTGGTAGACCAGATACAAAAAGTCCGATAAGAAAACATAATGAACCATAAATAAAATAAGGTAACCACCAACATCCAATCCAAAGTGGATGACTAGGTGTTAACCAAGATGGAAGACGTTGTTTAGGTATAAGTTTGGTATAGAATAATAAAAATCTTCCAGTAGCAACAATACCAAGTGCACCACCAACAGTACCAACAGCAAAATAAATTCCTTGACAATAAGCTGCTTTTTCACGTGGAAATATTCGTTCAATATAAACAATACCAATAGTAAATAGGGCAACACTTCCAATACCATTAATGAAATTGCCTGAATATAAAAGAAATTTTGCATTTGTTGATATACTTGATAAACGTTCATCTTTTAAACATATTGAATTAGTTATATTATCTTGATAAAGTAATGAATCATTCGAACATTGAAAAAGAACATTATCGGATATTAATAAATTTTGTGTAAAATCTGAATTAAAATTTAATTTATTATTTTCATTTATGAAATTACTTGATGCAATTAATATATTTCCAATTGAAACAATAATCATATTTAATGAAAAAAATATTGGTGATGAATATAAACTACCTAAATAACCAACCAATGGTGCTGAAAAAACTGTTGCCAAATCATATAAGGCCAAGAAAAGACCTGATTGTACACTATTTAAATAAAAGGCACGTTCAACAGTTGAAATAACAGCATTATTAGCACCATTTACAGAAAAATTTTGAATAAATGTACAAATGCATAAAACAATATATGCAAATAAAGGTTTACTTAAAATTCCACTACATCGAAAATGTCCCCATCCATAAAGATTATATTTTAAATCTAAGTCCGGATTGACATTGGATACAAACGTTGTCGGATTCATAATTCATGCAATTTTCTAAATTAAAAAAAAATGAAATCAACGTATATTTTCAAATCGAACTACGTAAGCATTCATATCTATGTGGGATACACTCGTTTACTTTTCCTTCTCAGAAGCTAAGCTCTGTTACTTTAATCCATTTTCCCACTTCTATGAGCTCGAAAGTATCAAAAAGAAGCTCCACGTTTCTTTTTTTTTCTTCCTTTTTTTGAAACAAAGATGAGCCTATACTTCGCGAAAAGCGCACGCTATTCTCTGTACTTCTATATATTAAAATATAATAATACTCACCAATACTTTTGATCTATCAATGGACATGCTTATGAAAAATTTAAAATTAGAATAAAAATTATAATGTGAGTTTTCTGGAATAAAAAAAAACGGTGTACATAAGGAATGATGTGATGAAAAAGAAAAGAAAGTAGGAGTAGCTCTATAGTTGGTTCTTTTCTTTTTTTTTTTTTTTTTTGTATTCTCGTGATGTAGAGCTTGCCACACAAAACGTAGATGATGATGAGATGTGTTTTTTTCAACGAGAATCACAGGAGGAGAAAGTAAATAGTAGCAAAATAAAGAAGATGGAAGAAAGCCAAGAATATAGAAAAAAGATGAACGCTAAAAACTAGTTACCTTATATATAGGACTCATAAGATGTAACAAAGCATTACATCTTGTTTAGTTATAAATAAAATCATTGGATGTGTTTGCATTGAATACATAATTGGTAACAAATATTTTTACTCAGCATTCAACCCCGTTAACCTTGATAATGGTAAAAAAAGCAAAAATCGCTCGCATCATACCAACAGAATGGTGCTTATGTACTACTTTATTTATTGATGTCAATATGTGTTTATGCTAGTCGCCAATCATAAATAGTCACTTGAATTGCATGACATCTGCATATATGCAAAAATATGTATCAGAAGCCAAATTCTATTTTTTTTACTAGGTCAAACCATAAACTGTACTCAATAGGAAAGATAAAAGCGTGATTGCATACATTTTATTCGAAAACAAAACTATTCTTTATTCTTGTTTTACTTGAAAATAAATGCATAATAATGATGAGGTAATACAAAACTAGTGTTTAATGCAAATATGAAATACTTTACTGGAGAAATTTTAAAAACAAAATGATTTTTACGAGGATTATAATGTCTATAATGTGATGATGTTAAAGGTAGTTATTGCAAGTGAACTGAAGACTAGAATGAAGCCAAGCAGCTGAGTTTCCATATGAGACAAATCTGAATAGATAAGTTGATGAACTGAAACTATTGAGTCTAATTTCGATTCAACAGAGTTAGATGTGAACAAAATACATTATTCTCACACATAAGAGTCATATGTTAAGAAACTCTACTGAAAATACTCATCCGGTGAGTACAACTTGTCAGCATAGATACTCAATGTACTCATGCGAGTATTCGAGTAATTTCATATGTATGAATACTGTTTCTGTACTCGTCGGAGTATGCATACGAGTTTTTTCTATAGATTTACTCATGAACAATGACGTGAATACTCAATATAGTACTCATTTTCGTTTTTTTTCTGCTTATTTAACAAACCATTTATTCACTTGTATAGTTATAAAAGTAGATCAAAGTTATGTAGTAAAGAAAAATAAAATATTATAACGGACAATAGAAAGAAACTATTTTAATAACTTATCTACTAGTTTATTCTCTATTCTATGCCGATGAGTCATTTACAAGATTTTGTTCAACGGTGACTTTAAGAAAAACAAAAGAAAACAACTGTTCATATAAAATTGTTAACTTGTCGATTAACATGCAGTATTTGTTTACAGGTGTTAATAGAGCTTCATTAAAATTTCATTGTGCAAAGTCCGATACAAAGTTCTATATTAAGATATAGGTTTTTCAGATCAACTGCAAAATGCAGTGAAACAAAAGGAACTAACAAATTTTGTTACAAATTGATTGTAATTTAAAATCATGATGACATCTGCATAATAGTATAGACACATAGCTTTAGGTTTTGTTTTTCTATACATTATTAAAAGACTAGAGACAGTCCCTAATTTTGACAATATCTCTTGAATCTTTTATGCACCTAACATAGATGTTCATCACGCTGTAAATCTAATGCTACAGTGGCACGGTCCTCGAAGAGACAAAGCGACCACGACACAACTAAAATCTGAACTTACTACGGTACTGACAACGTCATGGTAGCGACAGCACCACCCTGAACATCTCTGGTAGCAATCAAAATTGTATGTTTATTTGTAATCAGATTTTTTTTGTTTCACAGAATAATTTTTCATTTTTCTTTTTCATTTAAATGTTACTATTCACAATCTGTATTTTAGTGTACTGTTACTTTATGAGATAGAGATAAAGAAATCTTCATCATTAATGAAAAAAGTTTGATATTTATTTATTTTGGTATCATAAAAATATTTTATTTATTTTTTAAAAGACCAATGAAAACAAATAAATTTTTAAAAGAACATGAAAATTTATTATTAAAAACAATACACAAAAGATACGGACTTGTGGGACTGAAACGATTGCTCATGATACAAAATTAGTGATCATGGAGCTGAACAATTTGTCCATTGTATATTTTCTGAAAAAAAAATTTTTCTTTATTATTCAAATTTTAGTTTTCGCTTTGATCTTTTAAAGAAATAAATAACATCTTTTTTCTATTATATAAAAATAAAGAAATATTTCACTTTCTTCTCTAGCAATGAAAATCTTTCTAGCTGTAAGATTTTTCTAAGAGTGTAAAGGTAAAATAAAAGCTGTGATTCTCATATTCATTATTTTCTCCGACTCTAATTACGTACCTCTGTATTTTTTGCTGTGTAGTCTTACATTTAAATAAAATCGATATAATACGATAATACTGAAGAGAGTATAGGTTTATGAGTATTTTAAATAAACCACTAGAGTACACAAAAAAAATATACAAGAGTATTCAAGAAACATTCAGTATTATACGGCACGTAATGAATTGTCGTATTCAGACACTCAGATTTTAGCACAAGTATCCAAAAGCCGCGAGTACTCTAAAAAATATTTTTATCAAGAAAGACGAAGGAAGCAGGAAAAATTCATTATGTGAATGTTTTTATGAAAGAAAAGCAGGAAGTAGTTTAAAAAAATCAATCAGTTTTGTGAAATACAATCGAAAAGAAATATTGAAGTATATGGATGGAAATTTGAACCTACCACAAACGTGCCAAATATAATCGCGAGATCAAAATCAATCTCGGAATTACTATGATAGTAGTTCTTTAATTTTCTTTCATACTCACTGCAATATATTGCGGTTACTATCTTGCATTAACAGTAGGTAGGAGTTCATCAATCGAAACATATATTGTTTTTAAGTGACAAAGACTTTTTAAATATTTTCTAACATAAACACCTAGATCTCCACTTTGTTTATTGTAGACACATGTGATATTAAAGAATGATAGTATATGATCTGTGTCAAACTACATCTTACACGTCTCGGTCGACGAGGAGCAATATATTATTAAACGATGGACGAGCAAGTACTTAGTTTGTACTAAATAAAAATTCAGCTTTGTATATGCACGGATTTTTCAACTAGAGACAATGTTAGAAGAGTAACGTAGTTGTGATAGGTTTTCATAGAGTAAATTTCATCGAGAGATGTTAATAAATGAAATACGTTTTTCTACTTTATTATGTATAACTCTTTTCTTGATTATTGATGATTATATTTCATTGTTAAATATGAAAAATTCGAGTGAAATATAAGATTATTACAGATATGAATAATCTTGATGTGAGAAAAAAAATTGCGTTTATTTTTCATTATTCATCAATCACTGAGTAAAATTCGAAAGAAATAAAAAAAGAATATATTACAATCAAATAAAATATTATAAGTATGACATGCAACGAATCCAAATATTTACTATAATACAAGTCATGGAAAGAATGATTGATAGAAACTTCAAGCTATTAGTTTTTGAATTAACCAAACCAATTTCCACGAAAATTTGACGAATTTTACGAGCTATAATTGGATCATTGCATTTATTTTTATTACAAGTATAAGAGATAATTGTTTTTTTATAATCATTACCTACAGATTTTGAGTGAAAACTAAGACCAGCTGTAGAACCTGGTCGTCGATCAGAAATAGAAGTCGTGATTAGTAAATCGGATCGTCCTTGTTCAATAATTAATTTTGCTTGACAATTTCTACCGACGGAACACTTTTCTATTTTATTATTTCGATTGTAACATTCAATTGGCTGTCGTTTTGAAATGGTTTGATCATTGTAAAGAAGTTCAGTCAATTCAATTGTCAATTTAGTATAGTTCCTTATACATAATTCTTCATATTGTTTCTGTACTATTTTATCATTACATAGATCTTCATCGTAACAATCATAGATAACTGACCCATAAGGATTTCCAATGTCCAATGGTATGTTTATGGTTGTGACTAATTCGCTATCAGCATTACCGGTAACGAGAGCATTTGATGGTGCAGTTATATAGTTAATAAAAGCTGGATACGGATCAATCAATTCAACAAACAGTTCACTTTTGCATATAGAAGCTGATTCAACTATTAGGTCACAATAAGATTTATCAGTAGAAAGAGATATGTTGGCTATATCGATGAAAATATCAACACATGATGGACACTTAACGGCAGAAATTGAATGTAGATATATGATGATAATGAGAAAAATAGGTTTCAGCACCATCTTACATATGATAGTTTCGTATACGAAAAATCCGATTTACTTCTACAGCTATACGGTACATAAATAATAATGATTCGTATCTTTGTATGCCAGCTGATATAGTTTCTCATCATATCTGTAGGTTAATGACGGCATTATACGACATTTTTTTCGTAGAAGTGTTTTTTTTTATCAACGTTTTTATTTTTTATTTTTTGAAACAAAGAAAAAAGTAGTAGAGCATTATAATAATTAATCACCTTCGATTTTTGTTTTTTATTGTATTTTAAATATTAGTGAAAGAAAAACAAGGTTCAATGTGTAATTGAAGTATCGTGAGAGGTGATATTTATTGAAAGAAAAAGAATGTCTACACCGAGTTTGAAGGAATCAAAGTCTTTGCATGAATATTTTTGCTGTCGGATTTCCTCTCTATTTTTTTTACAGCACCTAAAATGAAGGAAAAAATTTCTTTTTTTTCCTCAACTAATCGATGAATGAAGTAGATGAGCATTCTTCTCTTCATTTATTTATGATTAATTTAGATGACATAAAATATTCGTCACCTATTTCTAAATTGTGTGTATTTAAAAAAATAAATAAAAACTTTAACATAATCTTTTTCACAAAATTTAATGTTTATGTATGTCGAGTGAAGTTTCTAATTGTTGGCATCCCGTTGGTTTCGCTGTTATACATGTTGAACAATCAAAAACACCAGGAGTTGATGAACATGTAGATGAACATTGATAGCATGTCGTTTGAGCCGCTGATGAATAACTACCTGCTTGACATTGCTGTGGACATTGTGTTGAGTCATCGCAAAAGTATCCAGGCGCGCACGGAATACAAGTAGCTGAACTATTTTGAACCGAATAGTATCCTTGAGAGCATTTTGCACAAGAAGTTGCTCCATAATCTGCACTAGTACCTTTAGAACAAACTTGAGGCGGTGAGCTCGGATCCGAGCATGCAAACCCTCGAGGGCATATATTACAATCAGCAGCTTTTGATGTTAAAGAGTAGTAGCCAGAAGAACATTGACTGCATCGAGTTTGTTGGTAGTCACTATAATTTCCATTAGGACAAACTATTGGTGCTGCATCAGGTTGTGGACAATAATAACCTCTTGGACATATCTGGCATTGAATAGATCCTATCTCAACCGTATAAAATCCTGAACCGCATTGTGAACATGTAGCAGTATTAATATTTGATGAATAGGTACCAACACGACAGGGTACTGGCGATGTATCAGCAGTAGGACATTCAAATCCTACAGGACAAGTTTCACAACGAACGGACGTCGTATTTTTTGTCCACATACCAGATGAACATCGTTGGCAAGAATTGATTGATCCATCTCGATAAAATCCACGAGCACAAGCTCGTGGCTCTTGATCACTTTGTGTACACTCATACCCCAGGGGACATACGTTACAAGAAACTTGTCCATAACTGGTTGCATAGGTATTTGATGGACATGAAGTACAGGTTGATCCTGGATATGGAGAATATGTGCCTGGTCGACACAAAGTGGGCGGTTGATCAGCTCGTCGGCATTCATTTCCCTATTTTAAATCAAAAGATATCGTGTTCGATCTGTTTTCTTCAATTTTAAATCAATGATTAATACACTTACATCAGGACAAATATCACATAATACGGCACCGTTCTTAGTGGTGTACCATCCCGTTGGACATTGAGAACATGAATAAGCACCATAATTATATGAATATGTACCTTAACAAATATATAGATCATTCTACTAGATCTCTTTACTTCAGTGAGTCATTTAACGTTCAGAAATCCAGTAGGCTCATTGTTAATTAATATGAGAGAAACAGAACAAAGCATATATGTTTATAGAAATATAAAATAATCAATTCAGATTATATAAAAGTTAAATATCGCTAAAAAAATCAATGTCAGTGCTAATTTTAACTACTAAAAATTGCTCATGAATTGCATATTCTCTAACAAGTAGATCGAGAAGATACCTCATCATGTCATTCAGGATTTATTTTATATATCTATTCAGTTAATTCAGATTCATTTGTTCTAATTTGTGAACTTTCATCGACTGGGATCAGAGTCTAACTAACCTGGTCGGCAGGCCAAGGGTGATTGATCCGGACGAGAACATTCATAACCCTATACAGAGATAAACAAAATGTCTTTACAATGTTCTATTAAAAAAAAGAAACTTTTCATTTTACCTTTGGACAGATTTCGCATTGATGTGAATTTGATGTTGTTGAATAATAACCTAATAATATCCATTAGTAAGAAAAGTCAAATATAAAATAATCAATCAAATAAACTTTCTTTTCATACCTTGTGGACATTCTTGACAGTTTACCCTACCATAACTATCTTGATAAGTTCCTGCTGGACAACTGATAGGATCTCTATCAGTATTTGGACACATGGATCCTTTTGGACATACATCACACATAATTGAACCTGATTTCGTCGTAAAGTATCCATTTTGACAACTTAAACAGGATGATGATCCGAATGAATCTTGATATTCACCTGGATTGCACGGTAATTGTCGATATCCATCGGGACAATATGTGCCTAGTTCGCAAGGATAACAATTACCGCTATCTAAATAATAACCACGACTGCAGGATGTTGCACTCAAAGTTACTTGAATTGATAAACAGATGACTGACAAAGGAAATAAATAAAATATCGAACAAGCCATTAGTTTTTAAAATTTTCTAGTGCAAAATGATCTTCTGCGACTATACTCACATCTCTTTTATAAGAGTTAATATGTGTGTTTGTTGAGCTTATCAGTTATTGCACTATCTACTTTAGAAATGTGGTAAGATTATGATATATTTTTATCACGGTGATAGTGCTTGACTACGTAGAATATTTGTCATAATAATAACAAATAAACAGGCAGATGAAAAAGTCAGGTAGCATGATTCACATCTTATATCTATACTCCTCCCTCACCACAGAATACAAGCTCACTGGACTTTTAATTTGCTTTCTAAGTCAAAGTTTTGAAGATGCGCTTGTATTGCAGTCAACTTGTTTTCTGTTGTAGTTGTACTTTTATTAGTTTACAAGTATTGAAGTGTTCAACAAATGATAAATCGAAATTTTCAAATTGTATGACCAATTTCAGAAGATCTATAACAATTTTTGGAGACGCGAGGAAAGTTACTTTGCTTTTTCCACAATAATGTAAGAAATTGCACATAAAGTTGAGTTTTATCTCTTAATACTTTCATCAATGGAAAAAACTTATAGTGAACAGATAATATGGTTTGATGAAAATTATTAAGAGTCCTACGTCGAACTGGTGTCATCAATAATCCTTTATCCATAGTTCAGTATTTTTTTCTAATGATTTTTGCCGTTTAAATAAGTTAATATTCATTTAATTCTTGACGAAATATAGATTTTCTGCATTATTATAAATAAGCATTTAAACTGTACACATCTTTACAAATAGTTTTGTGAAGCACTCTATATAATCGATAAAACTATAGAGTATATCTGAAATGCATCTCAATGTCTGTAGTTCTTAATTTAAAAGAATACAAGATTAGCATTTCTGATTTTTAAATATTAATATTATCTTACTCATTCAATATCTGCATAACTTAAATAATAATACTATTCGTTGGAGAAGAGAAAAACAAACGAACATAGATGAATATTTTGAAAATTTGATATTAACAAACGTAAATTTATTGTATTTTGATACTAATTGAAAAGAATTTATTGTTTCAAGATGAAATTAATTTGTTACAACAAATTTGTTAAACTTTGAAAGAATAGAAAAATGTCTCTGATCAAATGACAAAATCTTTGTAGACAACATGTTTATAATTTTTGTTTACATTACTTGACCCGTTCACACAAATCTCTTTTGGAGGATACTTTAAAAACAATACAAATCATTTTTCATGAACGCTTTGATTTGCAAATATAATAAAAAAAAATTATTTAATCATATGAAAAATAACAATAGAATATTATTTGCCTAATATAAACTTGAGAAAGCGCCTAGAATTTTTCTTTTCACTTAACAATTCGTCCTTCTTTTTCTGTTTATGTTCCATGAAACAAATCTTTTCAATTTTCATAATCATTCCTGTTTTATTTCATTCTCACCTTGCTTATTTACAGACTGTTCCATTTCGGTGCGTCAATGATAAAACATAAGTTTATATAGTCGATTGATACATTCAGTAGATTTCGTATCATCACTTGGAATGTTGGAAATAGTGAACCTGATTGTAATACATTCCAACATCTTGCATTTGCATCAGTGTCTGATGGTATTAAAGCTGATCTTATAGTGTTTGGGTATGGACATAATCAGCTCTTGAAAATATAGTAAAATAAAAAAAGAAAATTATTTTCTATAGTTTTCAAGAAGCAAGTAAAAAAGTGATCGGATCGAACACATTCCATAAAACATTGAAAAATTGTCTTGAAAGTGAAAATTATGTAGAAATTATTTCTGATTATGTCGGATCGAATATTATAAAACCAATATGGCTTTATATATATGCTTCAAATATAATAGTAAAATCTCAACGTGTGAAGCTTTTAAAATGCACAAATAAACTAACTTTGAAAGTATATGGGGTATGTTTTTTGTTTTTCTAATCTTTTGATATAAAGAAATGACAATGTCAACGCCATGTTTAGGACAAATTTTTAGAAAATATCATCGGTAAATCGACGTTTTGCTAGTTTATTATATATACATATATATGTGTAGAGTTACTTATATAAAAATTTATAGGTTATAAAGGTATTATAGCTAGTTGTATTCAAATAGATAAATTAACAAATGTAATCTTTGTTAATATGCACCTACCGGCAGGAGAAGGGAAAAAAGAAGAACGATGCAAATTATGGTCGAAATTTCTTGAAATATATCAAGCAAATAATGTCAAAAATGATTATATGTTTGTTTTTGGTGATCAAAATTGGCGTACATTAAATACCTTGAGTGTTGATAATATTCTCGAAGCAATCAAGAAAGAAGAGTATAAAATAATACTTGATAATGATGAAGTTAAATGCAATTATCTTGATTATAAATGAATGAAATTAATTTTTTTCTTATAGTTAACACAAATGCGTCAAAACGACAATACAGAATCTACTGCTCAATGTTTGAGTAATTTTTTCGAAGCTCCTATTGTATATCCGCCAACATATAAATATATACCGAATAGTGATGAATATCAAACAGAAAAGGATAGAGAGTAAAAAAAAAAACAAAAAGGAAGAGAATTCATATTACATTGCTCATAAATATGATCATATCTAGAGTTCGTCGTCCCAGCTATACTGATCGTATTCTTATTTCAACACTTTCGAATAATCTTGAAATTCTTCAATATTCAACAATGAGTGATATTAGACTCAGCGATCATCGACCAGTATTTGCAGATATAATACTACATCAACAAACAAGGAACAACGAAACATATACAGAAACTGTAATTATTATTTATCGTTTTCTGAAACTCACATATATTTTCGAAAAAAATAATTAGTCTAAGTTTTGAATCAAAGCTTTGAGACTTCTTCCTCCTCCTCCCCATTACAGACCTTAGCTATCGAGGATAATAGACATCAGACTTTTTTTCAGAGAATTCTAGAATGTTTCAAAGTCTTTCTCGGAAGGTGAATGGCTGGAATCCGTTTGCGGATGTTCGAAGTAATACAGTTTTTGGTTTTTGCCCAAATAAAAATTTATATTTAAGATGTTAAGTATGATGAGTGGTCATACATTGGCTTGCTACAAGCATTGTTTAGTCAACATAAAAAGAAGCGTGAATTGATCAAATTATAACTTTAGAAAATAATCACTACCTATGTTTCTGAGCGTATCGAGAGACATTATAGTGTACTGAGGCATGCTGTAGATATTATGGATATGTACAATAGGCTTATTTGCCACTTAGTCAATGTTTAGAATAATATTACTGCTAAATTAAGAGAGACGGTATACGAAAATGGAAATCCAAAAAGGCAAAGAAAAATTAAGTGTCAATAAACGAAAAAAAAATTCTTTCAAAATGTAGAAATAAATAAGATAGATCTTTTCACTGGTGATCGATTGTTTTTCGAAAACAACTATAGTATGCGAGAGATTTTTCACTTTACACATTTTCTATTAGTATAATATGGCTAAAGTAGACATGTGAATTCCACATTTCAGCCTGAAAATGATTGTGCTAACAAGTCTTTTTTCTTTTTCTGTGTTATATTTTTAGAACACAAACAGAACTTCTTCAGTAAAAAATGATACCAGACAAACATCAAAGAAAAATTCGTTGATATTAATTATGATGATAGTTATACTTATAATTATCTGCGTACTCGGCATTTTTGCAGTTTATCATTTTATAATCATACGTCAAACAAGAAATGTCGATATTCGAGAAGTATCATCGATAGATCTTTCTGGTACACAATCTAATCCAGAAAATACAGTGACAAAAAATTAAAACTATAGGCAATATGTTTGTCTTTAACTTGTCCTTAATTAAGAATAACATTTTTGATCATTGGTTTTCTTATACTAATAAATTGAATCGATTAGTCTAAATACTTACTATTATCAATCACTGAATGATTTATATTGTGATTAGTGTTAAAATATTCTACTTAAGTTTTTGTTGTTATCTTCATAAATTTCTATCAAGACAGCTAAGTCTACTAAATCATTCATCTTGACCATGACATATATTTATATATATATATGTATATAAGTTCATTATCAATAAAAAACGACATTTTTTTCGTGCTTATTGGTGACGATCAAGATCAAATAATGTGTTCAAAAATCTATAAATTGTTCATCAATCTAATAAATCCTTGAGGTTATATCTATATGTGACATTCATTTACGTTTTTGTCTGTCTACCAGGGCTTAATGAAGACATGCATAGAATCATGAAAAGTATCTCGTGTCTTTTTCTACATTGTACATCCAAATAGCAAGAATATAAAGACGTCAAATCTACATTAAACAAATTATTATTAATTCAAGCAAAGAAATGAATAGAATGTCTCTCTTTCGATTAATTATCATTATTGAAATTATTATTTTTCAATTGATAAATAATACGATTAATGGTATTCATATTCAAATATATGATAATATTGCTGAAATATCTCAACCAGTATCACCCTATGATTTACCTATAATATTTTCTCAACAAGAATGGTATGATATACGATCAGATTCTATTCGACTTGTTGGTAAATGTGTTAATGTACGTGCACAAATAATTTCATTTAATCGTACATCATTAAATGGTCAAAATCTAATGATTAAACGTGATGTTAATAATGATACATATACAGAAGGAATTATGATTGATGAAACACGAAATTTAGTACAAGATTTAATTGATAATACATTTTATACAATTACTAATGATCGTATACGATATTTATCTGTTCCACCCATAAGTAAATATTCAGTTGATTTTGTATTAGAAACATATACTAATGAACAACTTTATTTACGTTATTTACAAAATAATATTAAGTGGAAAGTACGTTATGATCTTCTATTAGAAAATAATAATACTGATTCAATTTTACAAGCATATGCTGATATTCGAAATGATGGAAGGTCATCATTGACAATTAATTCTGCAGAATTAATTAGTGGAGATGTTAATATTCAATCATCATCAAACAATGGTTATAGTAGTGGACAAGTAGCTGATGTTGGAAATATTGACTATGGATTTGCTCAACCAGGAGTAGTACCACCATCACCTAATTTTAATGGTAATGGAGCTCTAACTATTTCTGATGCCGAAGAATTAATTGGTGTGTACATATTTTCAATCAATGAAACTTTTATTCTTGATCCTCGATCGAATTATATTCTTCCAATGTTTCGTCCAATAATCGATATTGAACGTTATGGTTCAATAGAAAAATATTTCTCATCGACGGATAATCGTGGTAATGCTCGACGTACATATCGTCTTCGTGTAGAAGAAACATTTTTACCACGAGGTCAAGTATTTATACGTGAATCAGATCGATTAGTTGGTGAAACTTATTGGCCTGATCTTGCTTCTAATGAAACAAATGAATTTAATCTTGGTCAAGATCCTGATTTACGATATATTGAATATGTGCAATTAAATTCACGTCGTAAAGTTTATCAACCAAATGGTAATCGTTTTGTTTTATCAACATATACAATTAATTTACATTTAATTAATAATAAGCAACGCTCAATGAATATTGAATATCGATTAAGATTTACTTCACAAAGTAATTTAACATTAAAAGAAAATACAATAAATAATTTACTTCAACTTGATGGTTCGTCCATAATTGGAACATTTCAAATAAATCCAAATGATGAACAACAATTTAAATTTACATTTGAAACTGAATAAACACAATTTTTTTCTTGTATATTTGTTAACCCCATATATATACAGCTAAAATTCAATGTTTTGCTTTTGTTCAATAATATAATCAAATACATAATTTACTTAATGTCTTATTTTTCTCTTTATTCTAGTTCATTGATGAACATTTATCTTAATGATCTTTGGATCAATATATACTTCCGTCCTATACATTCCAAAGAATGTTGACAACAAAGACCATATGTATTAAAATAAGCCTGTCTAGACAATAGTTTTAAGAAAAAGGTCACCTTATTGCGTGATTGATAGGTTCAAAACCCGCTTCCGTAGTAATAAAGAGTACTTTGCCAACAAAGATGCTTAATCATACTTAAACACGATTAAAAGTTCAAGTCGATCGATTGACCTGTCACCACCGCGAAATCAAGATAGATATTAAACATTTGAAAATTTTGAGTCCATCCGGTTTATCATTTCGATCGAAAACGATTTTAAAAATAGTTCAAACTCACCTAATCCGTTTGGATTTGCGTTCTTTCTATACAACCACTAGAAGCTTTTTTTATACGCCTGAATCTTTGCGTCCTTTTGATATACTATTTTCTAAACGTTGTAACTTGTACATGCTTTTCAGTAGTATGAAAATATAAAATAAAGATAGATTTTACTGTATACACAGAGATGAGTTTGGGTCGCGCCTTCACGCCGCGACGCAGAGATAAAGAGCAATTTACGCGAGCAAATTCTATTTTTTAATTCTTGAGTTACTGAACTCGACTTTCATATTTGACATCGCTGATGCAAGTGGTTCAAATGTATCAAAATTATCAGAGTGTATCGAAAACGACTCAATTCTGAGATTTAAAACAGACTACAAAAATGTTCATGGCTCTCGACACAATACACCATGACGTAACACTTTCAAAAAACAAATACTGGCGGCTGTTGCTAGGTATTTATCATATAGAATGTGTAACAGATTCGAAAGTAGAGAAAATGATGCAAAGAAGAACATATATATATATTTAAACGTGCAGAAAGAAAAATGTCATAACTTGAAAATCTGTCATTCCTTGACATTATGAATAGATGCATCTCTGCTATGTTTGCGTTGTAAAATCTTGAATCTTTGAAAAAATGTCGAAATAGATAAGTTCAACATTTTCCGAGTCATGTTTTACCAAATCTCAGATGGGACTGATGATGCTGGAACGGTGTTTTAGTGGAACATATGTAATCAAAAATTCTGTTTGTGCAAAGACAAGACAGAGATGATTTTCGAAAACAAAAACATAAATATGGCGAAGCATATCACAGCGATTTCGATATACTATTCATTAGATTGTCAACGATCATCATTAAAGTCAAGTTTTCATGTATGATGCAAGAGGCTACATAGCGTTTCACGTTTTCTTATTGCAGAGAAATTGCATTGAAAACTTGTTTATGTGATGCTTGAACTCCATTCATGCATGAACGAGTTACTTAGAATAGTTGGCTCATGATAAAGCACTGTAAGATTGGATATTTTTCATTCAAACTTGCTCGTTTGAACTCTTTTGAACTATTTGGCAGGTAGTTTCATTGACACGGATCTTTTTCTTTGAATAAAAACTTTGTTAATTTATTTTTTTGGTTATGTTGAGAGATACATGTAGATAATAAGATGAGCATTCTTATTTCAGTTTTGAGGAAACACGTTGAATGAGCCGCTCAACCTGAAGTACATAGGGATGAGTGGGATCTAGTGTTTGATGATAAATTTTGGCTGCATTTTGTAGATATGATAGTGCTTGGTTGAATTCCCCTTTCTGCTCATAAATAAGACTCATGTTGCTCAATGTCATAGCAATATCAGGATGGTTAGGAGGAAGACATGTTTGTTTAATTTTAAGTGATGTATTGTAATGTTCGAATGCGAGATCAAGTTTATCCAGACTACAATATAGGATGCCAATATTATTGTGTGTATCACCCATATCAGGATGATCGGCGGGAAGATGGTGTTGACGAATACTTAAAACTTTCTGCAAACAATCGAGTGCCTCCGTGTATTTTCCGTATACTTGGTAGATACCAGCCATGTTACTTAAACACAAGGCTATTTTGGGATTATCTTCACCGAATGCTTGCTTCCAAATTTCGTGTGCTTTTGTGAATGACTCCAATGCTTGTATGTAATTGCCTGTCTTTGCTTGAACAGTAGCAATACCATTTAAAGTAGTTCCAATGTCTGGATGATCAGGTCTGCGTGTTTGAAACATAATTTCGAGCGATTTCTGATACGCCTTGAGACTAGATTGATAATCACCTTTTTTGTCTAATATATCACCAAGATTGTGACAGCAAGCAGCAATGTCTTCATGATCAGGTGGCATTTCTTTGAGTAGACGATCAAAATATTTCTCTGCCTCATCAAATTTGCCCATTTGACCTAATAAGATACCAAATGAAAGAGTAGTTGTCTCTGCGTCACCGTGTTCCTTCTTCATATAATCGAATAGAACTTGAACTTCATGATCACTGTTGCTGCATAATGTCGACCGGACGATCGAAATCCCTCGTTCATCATGATCAATACTGACCAGACGCAAGATAGATCCTAACATCAGTAATACTTCACTTTCGCCCGGAAAATAACTGAACGAGGTTATATTAGCAAATGGTTTGACACCGGCAAGTTGCGGATTGGCATCGATTTCAAATAATACACGTACCAAATTATTGGATATATTTGAAGAGTAAAGAAAGGAAAGAGCCGATTGACGATTGGTGGTGGTTGAGAGGAATGAATTCATTGAAATCAATTGTCCGATCGAACTTTTCAGTATTTCTAGCTCTTCAGTTGACATCAACTGACCGCGATAGATACGGATGGGTGATGAGCATCGATGATGTTCAAGTTGTTCATGCATGTCACGAATGAAGAAGCGAAATGCAAACAATTTATCAATATCCTGCGTGCGAAGAGCCTTGTTCAGTTGCCGATACAAGAATGATTCACGCGTATACCACCAGAAACATTGATCACTAGCATAGTTCTCTTGAAACTCGCGAACAATAGCCAATTCATTTTTGTTGTCTTTATATTCTTTTTCTGACAGATCAATCAGTTCATTCTTGTCTGTTGGAACCGCTCTTGGACGGAGCAAACAATCGATGAGTAGTTGCGAATGAACAAATTGACCGTTCAATGCTGTAGTCGATCGTTCGTCGTTTACACTTGCATTGAAGATGTTGAACGCTAACGAATCATCAGCTTTGTCAAGATTTCTTCGAATATGGTTACAACGAATTTGTTCGACAAGAACGTTGATGTCCGTCATCACAAGCTTTATCTATAACATTCGAGATGAATTTTTAATGTTTCGAAACAAAAATGATTCATAATGCTTGACAGAACATTGAAGTAACAAAAGAGCATGTTTTAATATTCTTGTGTCTTTAGCCAATGATTCTAAGCGAAATGGAATGTTTTTAAGAACCGATCTCAGTGCTCTGCGACTCCACCGACATTACTTTAAATCTAACCTATGGCAAACGTCACCGTAAAAAAGTTGATTCATTTCTGCAACTATTTTGATGAATTTGATTGGAAGGTAAGAACTGATAGTAGAGCTCGGCTTATAATAGGAACAACATTTTCTATCTTATCTCAAATCTCTTCACTTAACTGAGATATGAGAGTTTTCTTACTTTAGAATAAGTTTTTGTCCATTCTTCGCCTTTCTCCTTGTCCATACCGTAGACATAGATTGAAAACACTTGTGACAATTGATGAATGCGTGGCACTACTTCTACAGTCAGTCGCTCATTCATAAGCAGACTGATTCTATTATTGACAGGTTCTGATTGAATAAATTGTTCGCATTTATCAACATCGTCAAATGTTTTGAGATCCCTAATCCATGTTCGAAGTTGTTGTTGAACATCGATATTTGCTTTCGAATTGTTGAGATCAGGATCGAGCCAAACGAACGAGATCGTTTCATGATTGTTGTGTTCTATTGTTGCCATCGGAATAGTTTTCTTCTGTCGTCAATTACACTCTATTGGTTGAAAATAAAGAATGTAAACAGTTCTCACTCTCAATTATATAAAAAACGATGGCAATGCTTCTCGCATTACCCTCATGCTATTTTTCACTAACATTCACTCAGCTTTCATTCACTCGGCATACGAAGAAAAAAAAAGATTCCTATGGCAACAACTATTTCTGTCACAGTACGACAAGAACACACTCGAGCTTGGAGAGAGAGAAAAAGTGAGACGATAAAAAAGTTGAGCAAAATTGATTTGATCTCGAAGTAAATAAAAAACATTACTAAAAACTTTCCTTTTCACAGTAGATCAGAGTAAGCTTTGAGTTGGTGAATGCGTACATTTGCAACCAATATCATTCATGTTACTCTAATTTTTGAATAAAAAAAAGAGATGTTTCTCGTTTTAATATTTTCTTGCAATTCTTTTTTGCTTATTTCTTCACAGTGTACATTTAGAATTGGAATAGAATTCAAATTATAGGGTTTAAGACACAGGAAAATCGAGAAATTTGATACACTGAACGTCAAATTTACATTGTCATTTTCATTGAGAATTAAATTTCATCAAAAAATTCGCTAGAATCACTTCTCGTCAATCAGAAAGTCAAATACCTTTTTTTGAAGAAACTTGCGACCTCCTTTTAGCCGAATTGCGAATTACGATCTTCGATCTCAACTAAACTATTCGATTTAGTCACGAGCTGATGACGATTCAACATGTTTGCCTGACAAATTTTCGCCAGGCTAATAATTCCAAAGAAAAAGTTAGAAACAGAACTAATCCAAAAACAAAGTCTTGCAGTTAGAATACTTCATTCTTTTAAGAATAAAAGTTGAAGAAAGTTGATTAAACCGACTCATAGAATCTAATGAACAAAAGAGAACCTAATACTTTCAAATAATCAACACATCCTACATATAGTTTAAGCGTTTCTCTTGACTTTCATATGCTTGTTAAACTCTTAGAAAAAAATGAATTTAGAGTTTTCTGTGAAACAGTTCCTTGGGCAAAATTTTCACTGTCATGCGAATAAATGGTAGAAATAGTTCTTTTTCCTTGCATCTGATTGAAGATAGAACAGTTTTTTTATAGTAGAAAAAACGCTTTCAATACGATGAAGAACAAATGCCAGAAGATTAGTTTTCACCAAGTATCCTGATTTCTTGACTTTTCTGTCAGATCGGAGTTTGATCGCAGATTTTCTTGATATATACCTTGAAGTATGGATTATGACCTTTTTAATGAAAACAACTCTATGTCTTGCATTTAAAAGAAACACATTCGAAAAAGCGCTTGACTTACATTGATGAGCACTCTTATATACACATATCTTTTGAAAATATTTTTGATTATTTTCATCACATTTTGCATAAAGCAATAATTTTTCGATGCAGATTGAGTGGCTCGTTCAATTTCGATGTTTTATATTGACTGCAACGATGACAAAACCGATGAATGATCTCTCATTACTTCATGTTGGAGAATCACTAAAAAATAGAAAAAAAAAGAATTATTTTACATTGATTTTGTCAATTCTTGTCTAAATGCATATTCTATTTTCTTATGAAATCATTCACTATATTAAAAAGTACGAAAAAAATGGAATCCAAGACTCAATCATCTCAAATAATACTGAATGGAAATATGTACTTCAGTGATGTAGTAAAAGAATGTGAATGAATAGAACATGAAGTAAATATTGAGAAGAGCAGTCCATAGGTATAACGACAACATTTAACGATTTCTGTCCGGTTTTTCTCTCCTTTACGATGACAACAAGAAAACAACCGAAAACAATCAATAGTAACATTCTCTTATGATCGAATAAAAGAGAAGAAGAAAAATAAAAGAAATATCATATTTGTCCGTCTTTGACCATTCACGGAAATCAGAATGCACGAATTATTTTACCATCAATTATAATCGTTAAGAAAATCCCAACTAGAAAATAATATCTTATTGACATGTTGAAGATTTAACATCCGTCTGTCGAAAAGAAATATCGGTTGAGCAATGATGCTAAAACAATATACTTAAATTAGTTGACAGAAGATGTCAAAGTATGAGTCACTCGCTTCACTAACGTAAAATGTCTTGCAAACTTCATCATGACAATTTATCGTAGTTCTGTATACACAATATTCATTCAGTATTGTGGTTCGTGCACATAGTTACTAATAACGGACTCAGTTACACATACTGAACTTACACATTTTTGCGTGTTTTTTTTTCTAGATGATTTCTCGATGATTGCTCATATTCCAGAGTAAGTGGAGAGATCGAGTTAGTGATCGAGAAATAGGGTGTCTAGAGAAGATTAAACCACAGTGTTTTTGACTTCAAAAGTAGTTGTTATTAATTGAAAATAAACTGAAAAAGTTGTTATTAGCGATAAATCATCTTGAAGAGCTAAAATTTTCTTTTTCCGACATAATATAAGCACTGACTGTAATGTTGACCGAAATCGTTTTTCAGAAAAGCAGCTTACTATAGAAAAACATTTTAAAACAAGAATTATCCAAAAAATATTGATGCACTTCTTCCACTGACGATGAGTAATGCAGTAACCTAATGATGATATACTGGCACAGAGCACATACACAAACAGATTTTATTTCAGTGGTGGTGCACTACCGCAACTATTTTGGCATGACTATTTTATTTCAGTTTGAAGAGAGACATAGAACTAGAAAACGTGAAGTCTTGTTTTAAACAAATGAACGAGTAAATTATCGAAGTCGATCCATTATTTTATTTCTTCATGCACTTGAATAGTGAAATAGTAAATTCATTTTTCAATTGCTCAGTGAAGAGCTATCAAGAGATATGCACAGATTTTAGTGCATGAATAATTCAATATGCTCGATGAGTTATACTATGTTTTGCTGTAGAATTCAAATGATTTTGTTATCAAGTACGAATAGAATACCATGATATTTGAGAACGAGTAGAAGGATAAATTTGTAAATTTCTGGTCAACTAAGTCACTTTGAATAGAACTGAATTTTTCTTTCAGATTTGGAGATTTAATTTCTATTGTATTTCAAGATTTGCACTAGATATCCAAAGTTTTACGAAGTATGTCAGTGTTCATCGGAAACTCGACACTGCCAATACTCATATATTTGAACTATAAAAATGGAACTATCGAACCTATGCTGGAAATAAATTTTATTCAAGAATAAGCATATTACAGCACAAAAGAAAGTATTTTCTTTAGGATTTGTTCAAAGTACAAACAAACCAGAGAAAAATCACCAAAACAATACTTAGTTTCATTGTTGAAGTATTTGAAGTTTTACAATTCACTTCGGCACAATCATCAAACTTAATTTCAAATTTGTTATTTTCCTCTATGCCTTTGATACCAATATAGACAAAATCTACATTATTATCTGGTTTGTCGACAATCAATGTTACTTGACCATTTTTAGCTGTGCTTGTTTTTGTTGACGATCGCTGAAAATATGACTTAACCTGCGTCCAGCGTGATAGATCAAGGTCACTTCTTGTCTCATAATCGATAAACTCAGCTGGATCCTTTGGATTACGATTTGTAAATGAGTAAAATAATTTCACATTACCATTGAATAGTGTAACAGTTATCAAAATCTTGTTTCCAATTGTAACAATTTCAACTTTTAGAAATTTGTATTTGTCTTTAATGATTTCGATCGTAACAGTTATATTCGAGGAAACAGATGCTGGTTCCGAACATGATTTAGATGTGAATTGATTTAGTTTTTGTTCAAGTGCAGTATAATCCGACATGGCAAAATAGTTTTCACTTGCCGGTGGGGAGCAAACGGCATGTAATTCACCAAGATTGGGTCCATTGCCAACGCCAACACTTACCAAAATGATACCTTTTTGTTTTAAAACATTCGCCGCTCCAATTGTTGCACTTTGATTATCACTTTTTCCATCTGTGATTACAAATATCACAGGCGTTACACCTTCTTTTGATTGTCGACGACCACGTTGGTATGAAAAAACTGTATCTACCTGTCGAAGAGCACGAGCAGTATTTGTACCACTGGCATAATATACCGATTGATTAACTCGTCTAAGTTTTTCTTCGAGAGTGTAATCTGTATTCAACCAAGTCAGTGTCTGAACATCGTCAGAATAATTGATAATACCCACATGAGTTTTATTTAAGCCAACATTGACACGTCGAAGTAAATCTTGTGTAAATTTTAGCTGTAGTTGATAGTTACTGCGACCAACACTACCACTAGCATCAAGAACAAAACCCAAATCCATTTTTAATTCTTGTGAACATGTATCCAAACAACATCGAATATGTGCTGGGCTGTTCGGGCATTTTTGACCTCTTGGACTACTGCAGCCACAATATGTACTTGAATCTTCCAAGCCTTTAATACAATCTGCGGAACATGTACCTTGATGTGTAGTATTATAGTGACAAGTTGGTCCTTGTCCTGGATATAAATCACCGCCACACTGCAATTGACGAAGAAATTTTGAATAATATTTGGCACCTATGGATAATTGTTCAATATCTCCGTTCAATTTATACCTTTGAAGTATAAATAAGAGCAATCCTGTTCAGATGTGAAAAGTAATTATGATGAACACTTACCATAACATTGAAAAACCATAAAATGAACCATCAGCGTAACGTGTTAAAGCTGGTTCTATTTTTGTATTTAAACAAACATATAAGTCACATGAAATATACAAATGAAGAGAAAATAATTTCTCTTATCTATTGTTTAAACTTTTTCTGACTGCGTATCAAAGTACCTGCTACTTTTTCTCAGAGATTCAACAGCGAAAAAGAAAACGTTTTTTCGGTTTAGTGTCTTCATGTTAGGTTTTTGGAATCAAGAACGTTCAAGGATCAAATGAATTTTCAAGTAATTTAACCGATACTTACCACTCATCAAATCAGGATTAATCCATAGCTTTGCGGCAATTATAATTGCATTTTGTGTCAACGCTACTGACTCGGGATTGCTTAGACTTTGATATTGTGGCATCGATGCTTGTAGGTTTTGATACATTGCTTTTCCACGAAGACCAAAAAATCCTCGTCGACGAAAACGAGATCCATCACCTGGTTGTGAATTTCCATATTTATTATCATCAGAAGCTAATTGTACATCATTTTTAGTAGCTTCATCAGTTTGAAAATTCTCTGTCATCGTTGCTGCTACAGCCAGAAAAGCAGCTTTTGCTTGACAGTTGCGACATATGCCAGCTAAATTGATTCCATTATTTAGGATAGTTCGAAGAAAGTTAGCACGAGATGTATTATACAAAGCGTCGAAGTCATTAGCACTAATACATTCTGCTGGTGTTGATTGTGACGTAGTAGGAATACAACAACGCTGCTGCTGACATGAGTTAGTTGTTAATATAGTTCCTCGACAATTATCAATAGATGAACATTGACCACTAATCGTTTGATTGAATCTCGCTCGACACTGTTGACCATCAACAGTCGATAATAGCAATATCGCAAATATAAAGAATAAATAATACATTTTGGATGCGGTGAGTACTGCTATTGCTGAATGCAATCGTGTGATTCTTATATAGACAAAGGTCAAACATATCTCAATGTTTGTTTATGTAAATATTACTTTAGAAAACTGAAATCACATAATGTCGTAAGCTTGCCTACTACAAAGAAGAAATTTCTCTTGTACACCTACATGATTCGTATTTATTTACCTCAAGATACATAAAACCACGCATTTACGTAGCCAAACATGTACCTATTATTCATATTTGCAATCGATATCCCAGTGTAAAACCAACAAATTTATTTGTGTGAAACTGATACTATTAATCACATACACTTGAGTAATATCACTTCATATTATGAAATCTAAAAAAAAATATGCCACTAAAACTGTTTTCTTCTCTCATCAACAGCTTTTTCGTTTTCCTCCACTTGGTACTATGTAAAGTATGGCTATGAGTAAACGTGAAATATGGGGTGTGACTAATGTTAAGGCTTCCCCACACATAAATACAACTGTATCCATATCCACACCTTCATCCCAAACAAAATTCTGTCGAGCATAGACTATGTTAATGTAAAAAGAAACGTCATCCTGTCAGTTAAAATTATACAAATTAGAATATTTTTATCAACAAGTCCACGAAAATTATTGCTTGTTACTGGAAAAACTCAATTCAATATTTATCATCAATTCAGTACTAGCATTGGAAAATATCATTTGTTTTCTTTTAAATCATATAATGACAGATAAGTATTAACTATACTGCGAAAAAAAAAATGTTTGTTTAGACACTAATAGAGAACGTTTGTAAATCTTAAAAATCATTGACATTATGAAATTTAATCATTATAAAATAGTCCAAGTATGAATGTTTTTCCCTACTGGAAACATGCTACTGTCACAATAGTATTCAAAAACATGCTCGACATATCACGAGTATAAGTGTTATAGATCAGAACTATGTTTACAGTTCTGTGATATTTATTCAGTGTCGTGATGTCATATTTTTAAATAGTATAATTCTATTTAAAACATTGACATTTTATAATGCCTTCATAAAAGGACTCGTTAGCGTTGCGATGAGCAGCTCTAGAGTGACTTCATATAAGTAGAATTTAGGAGTCAACGATAAAAATAGACTGAGTTGGTATTAAAATACAGCTAAAACGAGACATCTAGCACGTTTAAGCACATCTTTCAGATGTGTGAAGACCGAGCTGAATGCGAAAATTAAAAAAAGACGCGTGTAAGTACTCACAAAATGATATATGTACATGAACGATGTGTTTTTACATGATATGTGTGTCAATGTGTCACAGAATAAGCTATATTCGCGTTTACATGCAATCGAAATATGTGCAATTGCATGCATTTTATTGTTGGATATGTAGCAACTATACATGAACACACATGAATACATAGTAGTCGTTTCACACAGATAAGACTCGAGAATACATGCTTTGTTTTATAAGACAAATTTCTTCGTCATTCCACTATCTAATTACATTAGAAATGCAATAAAAACTGAAGGATATTGTGATGGTCGAATAACTATAAAATAGGCATGCACATGAAAGCTAATAATTGTAAAGAGTTTTTACAAGTGAATAAGATTTTTAAGTTAATATGGTTTAGTTATGTAGAAGAGTGATCTCAATTGAACAAAAAAATCAAAAAATATGCGTCGAAAAAAACACTTAACCCTTGTACGGACCAGCATGTACACAGCAAAATAGCTGAAATTAGCATGCTGATGCAAAATCGCTTTGGGAATAGCTTTCGTAGATACGAACTTTTCTCATTGACATGCAGAGTTTAGCAAAGTTCTAATCATCTTGCAGATACACGCAAATAGTATTTGGGCATTTACATTCAATTCATATATCTTGTGTGAACACGCAGGAATATTGTATACTAGTATTAACAAAGATAAGAGTCATACATGATCCAGCATAGCTTACCTAAAAAAAGTGAAAACATTTATGATTGCATTTATGCGTAACAATTGCTGATATTTCAGATAGCTTTTATGCTCGTACATAAAATGCACCACCTGAAAAAAATATCTAGTAAGTTGACATGAGTTTTCGAAAAATTTGTGCAAATACATACATTTTTTAAAGTTTTCTATGCGACTAGGGAGACGTCTTTCACATACTTTCGATGTCTCATTACGTTTGACACAGACCAAAAAATTTTTCCACAGAAAAACATTATATTTTCGCACATTCGTTGTGTCACGCCCAAAAAATTATATAATGGTTAACTGTTCGAAAAGACATATGAACACAATGATTACTACTGTTGACATAAGCAATATTCAAAACACACGAATCTTTGATTATACATCAAGATGTCTAGATCATTAATTTATACTAGAAGATAGTTAGAAATATCTATCTTACGTTAGTGATTTAACAAAACAATGTTACTAAATATTAGATGAAAAACGTATACGACAAAACAAAATGTAGACTAGAGAATAAATAGGATGGACTCAATGTATGCTATGACTACTTCTGATCGTAGTACGTTAAGATTTTGATCATAGAAAAAAAGCAGAACTAGGTTGTTCGAAACACTTCGATTTCTTTGTAACTTTTGAAGGATAACTATTGAATGAAATATAAAATGATATTTTAGAGATAATTTGAAGATTTCAGAAAAATTAGAAATTTCAGCAATCTTTCTAGTATTCATGGATTTAATAGATTCAATCTTAAATTATTATTTCGTATAAAATAAATTTACAAAATGAAGCATTGCCCATAATATTACATGTTCATATGTTTTTTTTTTCATTTACGAAATCGTACAACTATTCTTGAGTGCTGATAGATGTTCCCGAGATGATCTTCGCTGTTGTTTGTCACCCATACTACTTAATTTCACTTTTTTTTCATCTAATTGATCAAACCATTGATCAAGAGAACCCATTAAAATTTTAACAACATAATCACCATATGAAAATGGAAAATGTTTACCTTGTGCAGCTAAAATTTCTTTTTGTTCACTTCGATAATCATCCAAAACATCAACATAAGGAATTTTCTTATCGAATTTATTTAAATAACCAACTGATTGCAGATCATCTGTACAAGCAATAAATGTTATATAAATCCGATCGATAAATGAATATCTTTCATTACGTAAAACTTTTTCTAAACGATTAAGATCATTTTGTCCCTGGTCATCAGTTGGTAAACCATCGGTAGCAATTAAAATTAATAATTTTCGATCATGAACTTGTGAACGTTTTAAATTGAGTACTTCACTAAGAACACGTGTAAGAGGCGTTGGACCATTTGGTAATCTAGAAAATGTTTCATGTAATTGTGATGAATCTATAACATGTAATAGTGGTGAACGATTTAGAAAATATATATCAACACCATCAGGATCTAATACTGAAGTAAGATCAACAACAATCGATACAATATGTTTGAGTTCATCCCAGCGATTAGGTAATTGACTGAATGGTGAAATATTCTTTTGATTTCGATCAATAATCGGAGTATACATAGATGAACTATCATCAAGTATCATAACTATTTCAAAACCTTCCAGAGCTCGAAGACGAAATGCAAAATCATAATTAATATCATATTTAGTTATAATATCTTTAAATTTCTTCAATCGTGCTTCATTCTGCATTATTGGATAATTCATTTTAAATGATAAATAGGGATAAAATTATTTCCTTTTCTTATTTTAACAAAGACACTTATATTTGAAAGTATAAGAGAAGATTTGACAAAAAAAAGATCAGACAAGAGCAAGTTAAATTATATATATATATGTTATTGAAACAACGATTAGAACTAAATGACATAATATAAAATAACAATTTAATCCTTTTTGTGTAGTATTATGTCGAGGAATCGAGGGATATCTAAAAGATACGATATTACTTTAATAGTGCATCGCAATTTTTGTTTCTATTTGCTTTATTGATATTTCTAGGGCATGGTGGATTATTGAAAAATGTCCTTTAAGGGCTAACTTTGTCACAAGACAATATATCGAGTGAATCAAAATGATTGCAACATCGAATATGTTGCAAATATCTCAATATAGACAAATTCTATAACATTAAGATGTTTTTCTAAAAGATGTGTTGTTAAATTCACTAGAAGAACAGCACTGAAAAATCTCATGAAACTGTTTTTATGATTTTATTATAAGGCTAAAATGGAAGCATTATATGATAGTCAACTTTAGCATTATTTTGAAAGAAACAAAAATGAAAATAGCATTAATTATTTTGAAAATATCTCATCATCAATAACTATTAAAACTTGAAATCATCTTTTTTAATGTGCATCGTGGGACTTCCTAATAATTTTGCATGACTGAGTGAGGAAAAGCTTCAAAAATCTCAAGTACCACATCTAGAAATGAAACTGATACCGGTCGTCAAAATACTAGACTGATTTCATCTCTGATTTATGACATGAATTTTCAACTAAATAGTGATTATAAAGAAATAGGTCGATCATTGAACTAAAAAAAAAATCATATCCGTAGAACAATATGTATTCGACCAAGATTGAACGCATTCATTTAACAATAATTAATTCCTGAAGTAAGTCAGGAAATTCTCACAATTAAATCACTTTTATCAATAACGAAATTGTATGCACTGTTTGAAATAAAAAAAAAGATAATGAACAGAGTGCGAACATCTAATTCAATATATCAATACTTTTTGTACCATTGTTTTTTATTGAAAAGCAGCATACTAAACATTTTCAAACAGCCTTTTAAATTTTTCAGATACATGATATACGTTAGCCATTTACATGAGTTCACTATGACATAAACTTTCCGTATATAACTGATCAGTTGCCAGTAGAGAGACATTTACCAATCGGTTCCGTCTTTGATCATACATAAAGATCCATGGCTATCTAGTTCATCGTACTTAAACCTAATAGATTATTCTATATGCGATCATGCCAAAAAGAATATTGATTATCAAAATGTCAAAGTACGAGAAGATTTGAAGAAATAAATAAATGAAGTATACCAAAAAAATCATTTCAGTTATGTTTCGTGCCAGGTTGAACAACATAATGACTATAATCTTTTCCATGAACATTTATGATTTTTTGTGTTATTTTATTTCTACTTTTTTTTTTATAAAGTACATCATGCAAAGATTTATTTCAAATGAAAAGATTCTTTTAATGTTATTTTCATTTTTGTTTCTTTCAAGTTAATGAGACATTTAATCATCACATAGCGTTTGAGTTTTAGCCTTGTAATAAGATCATTAAAATATTGCAACGGAAATTTTCATTGACATTCTTCTAGAGAATTTCGACAGCACAGCTTTTACAAAAAATAATTACACTTTATTAAATGTGTCTGTTTTGAGACATTTGAAAAATACCTGATGTCACAATCATTTTGACTCATCCAGTAGATCATTAAATGAAAATTAACATGTAAAGTGTTATGTTTTCTTTGACGACTGAATTATCTTAGGTGAAGTAGTCAATCGTCGTGAATATGAATCAAAATGTTTAACAATTTGATTATTTTCATGACATATATCTCTTTTAAGATTATTTTCATTTCTGTCAGACTTAGCCGAAGTATGTGGATTGACAATGTTATCAATAGACAAACAATAAGGAAAAATAAATCTTGTATATTGATTTGATTGTGATATTATTTTTGTTGGAAATGATTTCGAATCAATCGATCGATGAATAAATAATAATGGAACATCATTTGTTGTAATTGAACAAATTTTATAAGAATGAAATATTGTTTTATTAATTGAAATCTCTGTTCGAATATGAATATCTATTAACCATTGCGAAATATCTTGTGCAATAAAAATATGAGGTTCAATGTCGAATTTTAATAGACCATAGTGTTTCGAAAAAATAGTAACTACTTCACCACTATATAATAACGATCCTATTTGTTTATTAAATGTATATGAATTTAATGTTTGATTGTTAACACTAAATTGTCGAATATGAATATTACTCAGATTAAGCGATTGATTGTATGATGTATTTATTAATCGAATAAAATATCCAAATGGATCAATGTCGAGTATACGTAAATAATGACAAATTAATTTTTCCATAAGACAAAAAAAAAAAGATTTCTTTTTTTTTTCAATCAATCAAATTGTCATAGTGATAATCAATAATAAAAGCTTAAACGAAATGATCCGATAGATTGAAAAAAAATATTTTTTTCAGTTTAATTTATGATAAATTTTATTAGTCTTTATGAAATACACATGTTTACAATACTCCTATCAGACATCTCGCATTCTCTTCTACATTAATCAAATTTAACAAATACATTATATGAAAAGAATAGCTAGTCGATTTAAATGCGCTTGTTATCATTATTTTTCAAGTTGTTTTTTACACGATAAAGTATTTCTATCCACACTTCCACTTTGTGAAAAGATGTAATACGTCAAAATCTTCAGAAACATCTTTATAACGATTCGTACTTATTAATTTTTTATTGTTGAAGCAAACAAAAAACAATACTTAAATCTTTTTTTTCATTAAAATACTGATTAATCCGAATAAATAAACACACAAAAAAACAAATAGAATGGCCATAATAAAGCTAATGTATCACACTCTACTAAAGTATAGATTAAAATGATCCATCAAGAGTAGCATTTTTTTTTGGAAATAACACAGATCAGCGAATAACAAAAGAAAAAAATAATAATAATAACAATACCCATCAAAATCAAAAACTAGAAGATTTTTTCTTTATTTACATTTGATTATCATATTATTTTATCTTCTGATTCACCTAGAATATTGAATGGAAGAACTTTTTAAAAAAAAATAAAATAAACATACTTCTGGATCGACTATTCTCATCATTTTTTGTTTTTGATAGAGAACGAGATGAATGATGAGAACTCTCATTACTTTTACTACGCCGATGGTTTGATGATGACAGACCGCGTGAGTCAAAATAAATTTCAACATAACGGCTACCTGTAAAAAGTTTTCAAAAAAAATCTTTATTTTTCTTTCATGAAAAACGACGAATTTTCTTTACCCATATATTTTCTATCACATTTTACAGCTTCATTGACTTGGTCCATTGTACTAAAATAGACATGAGCATCACCGTTTGGTCGATTTGTACGACGATCGTTTAAGATTTCAACATGCACCGGTTGACAAGATGATGGAAAGAACTAAATAATTTCTTTTCAGTGATTTAACATTTTTTTAGATAAGTTATACCTCTCGAATATCGTTTTCAACTACAGTATAAGGCATACCACGCATTTTAACAAGATATTCTCCATTATGAATTGATGTATGTGATGAACGACGTACTGGACTTCGGCTATGACTTCGTCGACGAGAACCATCACGAGACTCTATTTAATAAAAAAGAAAAGAAAACTAGCTAAAATTTCAATTTATAGAAAAAATTAATATATATATATATAGATTGATTGATTTTAAAACAATCTAATTCCTTAAGAATTAAAACTTACGGTGATTTGCACTTTCTGTTTGAGCTATAAAATAAAAATTAAACCATTTATTTTTTTTGCTTTTTATTTTTTTTAATTTTATTAAAAAAATATTAATTCTTTTTTTTTTTTTTTTTTTTTACTTACGACGAGATCGTGATCGAGAAGAAATCGATGGTGAACGACGATATTGTACTAGTCGACGACGATCTATTTTAAACAAAGATTTCAAATAATTAATATTATTAATCCTCATTCATTTACTTCCACTAGTTGACTGTGAACGTCTTCGACTTCGATTATTTCGTCGATTATTATTATTATTATCTTCATCATCACTTTCACCTGCAAATCTTTTTCCATTTAAATAAGCGTCATTCGTAATTGTTTTCTTAGCTTCATCATATGTCGATGGAGATAATTGAATATACCTATAGAAAACAAAAGCCAAGATTAGTTGTTTTTTTTTTTTATTATAAAGCTATTATTAGCAAGATAATAAAAACAAATACAAACATTAACTAAAATATACAGTATATACGCACACATAGCACACGTATTACGACATATATATATATACGAATTTGTTATCTCTACCTGACAGAGATCTGGGCAGCACCATTGATAATGACACCTCACCTCTGACCTTTCCCTCTTTATATTTCCTTTTTTCGTTTTATTCGTTCCTTGTACAAATCTGCTGTTTTTTTTCCTCGAAAATCCATGCTCAGCCGAACCTGTGTTGAATATGTTTTTGATCATAAATATCAATTGCTTTATAAGCATTATCCATACTAACAAAAGCCACATATCCACCACCCAATGCATTATCCGTCATATCTCGTGTTATATAAATACCATTTCGAGCTATTGCAATATCTAAATATATACATTTATTGTAAAGAGAAATAAAAATAAGCGCTTTTTTTTCAATTGTAAATATACCTTTAAAAAAGTTTTGTACATCACCCATTGTACATGAAAACGGAAGACCATTCATACGAATAACAGGTTCACGCCATGAAATCATACCTTTATGTTTAATAAAAAAATTGTATTCATAAATAGTTGTTCGAAAGACTAAACATAATAATAGATTAAAGAAAAATAAAATATTATTTTTATTTTATACTTTCAATATAACGATTTCCTATAAATTGCTTTGTTTTTCTTAAAGCATCTTTGACATCTGTTTCTGATTCAAGATCCACTAAGCATTCACCTGATGAACTAACACGATTATTGAATAAATGTATAGTATCAATACGACATGCTACAAAAATAAGAAAAATTTATTTAATTAATTGATAAAAAATAAATTAACTTACGATAGAGAAATTTCTTAATATCGTCTTTAGTTGATGAATATGGAATACCACGAAGTTTAATTAAATAATCATGGCTACGTAATGATTTGCTGCCATTTCGATCATCTCGTCGATCTCGTTCTCGACTCATCGTTTTCTATTGAATATTCAAATACGAATGCGCAAAAAGGCGCAGAAAATCTGATAAAAAAGCTTGATCTAGGAGTTGAAAATAAATTTAGCCTTGTTAATAGATCATGAATATGCATAACAAGACTTGAGATTATATTCAATGACAAAAAAAAAAAACAAAAGAACGAAAGTAAAAAAGAAAAAGATCGAATAAATAATCAAGACCAACCATCGACGGTCATGTTGTCGTCGTATCTACTACTCATATTCCTTGACCCCAACCATAGAAGTAATCCAATAATAAAGTGGCGCTACTATCCATCACCAGCGACTTCATTGAAATGAAAATCTTTAAAAAAGACATTGAAAATTTTAATTGTTCTTTTTCTCATCTCATATTAAAACCTTCTAATTTTAATTAGTATTCATCAAAAGAACAATTATCAATGCTTCTTTAATTGCTTGTTCAAGCGTAACCTAACACTTCGCTCGAACGATGTAAATTACTATTAACTGGTTACTCTGAATTCTTACTTAATCGAACTATAAAAAAAAACGATACTGATCAACAGACTGTTGTCCCTTCAGGGCCTATCTGTAAATGTGTACGCGAAGGACAGATAAGAAAGAATAAATAATAGTGGTACTTCTTATTTAATATGTCAAGAACATTAATTGAGCAGACAAAGCTATGTATAATTTTTACGCTTATTGATCATAGTTTATAAACGATTTCATATTGATTCGACAACCCTAACCAACGAATAATTACTTTTATTGATCATGTGCAACAAAAAGAAAACCAACATATCAAGTCATTATTTTTACAATATCAAACAAATGAATTGCATCTTATGAATAATAGATCAATCTACGTTTTTTAACCTGTAGAATATTGTCAGGCAGTATTCAGTATTGTGATTGTACATATTTCGACAGATATGGTTTGTCAAAAAAGAATAAACATTTACACCCCAAGGTAACATTAATAGGTACCTACCTTTTTGTTAGTAACCCATGAGTTAAGACATTGTGGAGACCTTAGTAAACTCTATTTAGCATAAAATGAATTCGTGTTTATGGCCTGGTTTTGAGGGAATTGAACGCTGTTAGCGAGTCTGTCGTAGGGCTCCATATTTGCATCAAGACCATATCTTCGAATTTTGACTTGAAAATTTGTCTACATACATTTCATAGAATACTCTCGGAAGCTTTATTCCATATGATTTCACCGATAAAAATTGTTTCCAATTATTACCATCACCACTAACGTATGAAATCATATGTTTTGAATCATGCATAGAAAACCGATACATAAAGCTTGTTCCAATATCACTGCGGTCTCAATAATGATTCTTATTTACCGATTCAACAAGAGTTTTTATATAAATTTCAATGAAAAATACTGTACTAATATATAAATAAGAATCGACATTGAGATCACACTAATCTCATAACAAGGTTTATGCATTGGTTTTCTATGTACGTTTCAAAACATATGTTTTCATGCAGTAGTGTTGATGCCAATCATTTGAAACAATAGTTATGGATAAAATCATATGAAATAAAACCTTCGATAATATCCTATGAAATTATGAGAAGTTCATGTGAAATGCTTGACTCGTTGAAGAGTTATTGTAGTTTTACTTCACGGTTGACTTTTGAAACACCATATATAAAGGCCCCAATTATGCTAGCTTTCATAAAGAACTCTTTTAATTATTGAACAAAGTCTCTTCGAGATATAAAGTTTTCAAAAAATACATGGAGCATATACTATCTATTGAAAAGGACTTATATCTTGAAAGTCTCATATCTCGACGAGATTTAATCAAAAAAATTAGGGAAACTTTTTATGCAAGCTAGTCTATTTGAGACTAGTATATGTGAACAAAGTTTCAAGTCGAAATTCAAAAATATGATGCTATTGTAAATGTGAGATCTTCCAGAGAAAATTCATTGAAAAACGTGTGATCTCCTCAAAAACAGGCCATAAGCACGAACTCTTTTTATAATAAACATAATTAACTAAGGTTTACAAGATGCATTAAATCTTGATTCAAAAGTAAACTGATATCTGGTGATATTCCCTCGTTAATTGATCCAATCCAATGATGAATTTAAATCTAACAAGTTTATATTTACTACATTTCAAAAAGTATGACATATTTGCTTAAACAAATTTTGATGTTATTGAATCAGTACTCATGCTTATTATCATCATAATTTAGAAGATATTTCATAAAACAAAACATTCAAATAAAGAGATTGTAAAATGAAAACTATATTTGTGATAGTAGATGTATTCAACTTGAAAACTTGAAAAACACAATTAATAAATGAATATGTCGAACAGGTTTCATTATGTTTTACTGATAATCTTTTATCATATGTATTCATATGAGTAAAGTATCGCAATAGAGCGGAAAGAAGAAGATAAGCATTGGAGTAGAATAAAAATAAAATTCGTTAAAAGATTCATTAAGGAATGGTCATAGAAGATTGAAAATTGTTCGATTGCAGTGAGAGATCTTCATAAATTCTTTGATAAACATCCGGTAAAGAATTAAAAAGTTGTGGTTTATATTGTTTGATATATTTAACAGCATTCAAATGACCTTGATTAACTTCTTGAATTGATGGTATCAATTGAAGAATATTCAAAAACATGTCTGGTTCATCTACAAGTAATCATTAGAAAAATTAAAAGATTTATAAAACATTAAAATCTACTTGGATGGTAAAGTCTTAAATGTCTATACAAAACTTGCATAAGTTTACTTTCGATCTGTGCAATCAATTCTTTATTGTACAAATTTGGTCTCTCTAAAAACATAATATGTTGATCAAATGATAGAAAATATGCATAAAAAAATAATCTTTTACAAACCTGGATTCATAAGTAAAAGTGCATTAAACAAAGCAATATCACTGTCTGTCCATTGAAGATGACTTGCTCTCAATCCCAAATCAAATATTTCTAACATAAATACGCTTAATGTTTTTATTTTTTTAATAAAATCTCTATTCATATAAGCTGACAAATCCGGTGTAAGCATTAATTTTCGTTTTGCATCGAATAAAGTGAACCAACTGACAAGAATAGTTTCAAAAGCTCCTAACCAAAAAAATAAAATAATCAATATACATCAATTTTAAATAGACAGTTCTGACTAAAATTATAGGACTACCTGCTTGAATAATATTGTTTACTCGTTGTTAACCTTTGTCGACTTTTGAGAAAAGAAAAACTGATGTAAACGTATGCATTCAAGTATGATTTATTTAAATATGAAATCAAATTTCCTCAACACTATTGTCAAGTTGAAGAAAACAAATGTTTATTACAATTCGTCAGTTTTTGCCTTACCAAGCGTGTAGAACCATTATCATAGATTCCGTATCTGGGGATTAGATGTACACTAGTTTTGCTTGAAAGTCATACAGACAGAGAGAACAGGTCATTCTGAACGTTTTCATAGAAAAAACAAGTTCACTGATGAAGTTGAAACAGTTTGAAAACATCAGCCAACAAGGGAAGACCCCCAAACATTGATTAATCGCTTTTGAATCTGGATTATGTGCATTATGTAGACCCAAAAGAGCTTAGAATATCCTGAAAAGAATTCGAACCCTTAGTTTATTGCGGCGTAGACATTTCATTCTTACAGTAGTTTTTAAATGAATGTCGTAGTTTCCGTCGACAATCCTAGAAAAACTATCTTTCCAATTTCGACTTAAAACCTTGTACAGAGATGAGCCTTGGCGAGAGTATGTCACTATGAAAGTTTCAAGTCGGTACTTGAAAATCATTTTTTCTGACATTCCTGAGGAAAACCACGCCATTCATCTAAAAAATACCCAGAAAGTGTATTATCTCGATTGCAATAAGCTAAGAACTTTAATTCTTTTTTGGGATATTAATAGCTCATTTGGGTCTACATAATGCATACAGCCTCGACTCAAAAGCGATTAATCACTTAGGAAACTTTCCACGTAAGTTCTGTGCATCATTTCGCTGCAAAGAAACGCACAGTAACAAAATCTATACCATCTATTTGCACAAAACACGGCTTAAAATACTCGAATTTTATCATTACAGGTGTTTAAAACTATATGTTTCTCTATAGTGAAATGATGCACAGAACTTGCAAGCGCCTCATTTTGTCCCCAAAATCATTGTCTACTCGAATTCATTGTTCAAAAATAATCTTCACCTTTATTTCAAATTTTACAATCGAAATATTGCCAGATAATGAACCTATTATAGTCATCCTATATTTTTGACCAGGTAAAAATTGATGAATTTTAATAAACATTGGTTTTCTACAACTTGACAATAGTGTCGAGAAAATCTGATTTGATATTTGAATAAAACATATCCGAATGCATGTAGTCATATCGATCTTTGTTTTCTGAAAAATCTGAAAAAGTCAATAGCGAGTAAATAATATTAATCAAGCAGGTGACTTAGTAGTTTAGGCTAGAATTGCATTTTTTGAAAATCATACCATATTGAAATAAACAATTTTGGTCATCGTATGAAATCTGTTGAAAAAATGTATTATATTTAAATATTTTAAAAATACTTTCAAATGGAAAACTTAATTGCCAATTAGTCCATACTACTGTTGGATCAGAATCAAAATTATCATTCTAAAGATTAGAAAAAAAAAAATTTCATAATTTAATTGACAGATCGTAGTTTGTATTTTTTTTTTGTTATCTTACAATTGAATCCGCGCAAATAGGTGGATTTTCATCAATTTTGATTTGAATTTTTTCGAATGTACATGCACAAAATTGAAGATGTGCATTAATAATAACTTTTGCTATATGATCAATTTCTTTTATTTCAATATCGGTTAATAATTTTTCTTGATAAATTAACATTGATGATAATTTTCGTAGAATTTCTTGATGAATTTCTGGTACGATAGTTATTTGACGATGTTGAAAAAGACAATCAGGAAAATTTAAATTTGATGTTTGATCAGTTGATGAAAATCTATTTGATATTATCGAATAAACTGAATCAATACAATTGATTGATGTATTTTGTTTATCTCTTTCATCTGATGTTGTAAGTTGTTTAAAAATATTTGAATCTTTATTTATAAATTTAACTTGTTGTTGGCATTGAATTTCTTGTTCAGATATTTTTGATGATGACGAATTTTTTATATGATCTTTAACATTTTCAATTATATTTATAGTATCAGAATGTAATCGTTTAGGTCGTCGACCTAATCGTGATGCTTGTCGACTCATACCAACATTAAAACATTTTTTTAATCGACAATATTGACAAGAATTACGACTAAATGATGTTATTTCACAATTACCCATGTTACTACAATGGTGTGACATTCCTTGAGTTATAGATCGACGAAAAAAACCCTGTTATAAATAGTCAAAAAAAAAATGTTACAAAATTTGAAAATAAAAATTTACCTTGCAACCTTCACAAGAAATAACACCATAATGAAATCCACTTGATTCATCACCACATACTAAACATGGAATATAAACTGTTGTTGAACGAGAAATTTTTTCATTATTAATTTTTGATAATGTTGTTATTGTATTATTATGAACAGAAAATTGTTTTTGTTCAAAGTTTGTAGATAATGTTGGTAATTCTTTTTCATTTTGTTGATAAGTTTTTTCAATAAGATTTGAAATTGAATGTGATAAATAATCATGATTATGTATAAGAGTTTTTGATGTTAGTTGATCATCTTCGGAATTATAACATGTTGATTCAATATTATTATATATATTTTGCATATCAGAAGTTTTACTAATATGTATAGAACGTTGTTTTGATTTAGACGGATGATGATATGAAGAAGATGTTTCAACAACTGGATGCAAATTGAATTCATCATAAACGGGGTGTTGTGGTGTATGCACTATACATTTAATGCAAACAGTATGATATGATAGTGGAAGGGAGAATCAATCGAAAGTAGTAGACAAAACTCTTTCACTCCCCCAAGTCTCGACTACTCTACATGCTAGAGGTCTGATAATTCGTATACACGTCGTGCACTGAGAATTCAACTCAGCGGCACGAGGCCATCCGTATTGCTTAAATACAAGGAGAATTATGATGAACAGAGTCCATCGATGCTTCACATTTTTAGTCTTACGATCAAGTAATTTAATCGATGACTGTTGTCTCTGAATCCTCTATACCAACATGACAATTATTCGGATAGTATCTTCATATAATGGAAGATTCTTTCATGAGCCATTAACTACAGATAAAGCTTATGTATAAATTTCAGCTCAATTCATTGAATTACTACTGAGTTATGGTCTTCAAAGGCTAGTAAATGGTTTTTCTCCACCAGAATGGTCATGGAAAAAAGGTTACAATTCTAGGAAAGATTAATGAACTTCGATGAAATTAATATAGTACATAACTGAAATAAATCACTAAATAATGAAGAATGCCCTAACCGACAAAGTTCTTCTTTTTCACAGCTATGAAGTTAAAAGAATAAACATAGATGTGATTCATTATCATCCATCATTATTCTCGTTCCATTTAAATAATCAAAATAAGCTCATGTCTTCGGACTACATTCTTAGTGAAATATGTTCATACAAATTTGCCAATCTCTACTATGTATGATAGTTGATGTATAGGGATGAGAGACTTTTGTCCATTACTATAGTTTATGTTTGCAACTGATTTCTGACCTTGAAATGTAATGTTACTTTTTTTTGCTTATATTCTTCTCTGCACGCATATATACAGAATTAATGATCGTCGCTTAAGAAATTAAGACTGATATTCATTATTATCCTTCACGAAAAATACCTGATGATGTTATTATACTCGTGTGAATACTCTTGAAGAATAATGTTTCTACTTTTCTGTAACTTACCATTGTTGTTAGTATTCGTCCAACAGTCGAGCCACATTTCATTCATCAATATTCTTTACGTAGATATGTATTACCCGAATGGTATACCTATTCTAATGATCAAACACTCACTTGGGTGTTACCTCTCTATTCTTGTTCGGAGCAATTTATTTGTTTAGTATACTTCCTTCCTTCCGTCTGTCTCATCTATCGAGTATAGTACGATTGACCAACGCCATCAATTGATGTTCGTTCTTTGCGTTCTTGAGAGTAAGGTCAAGTAACGAGCACGAATTAAATAAAAGTAAAACATAGACAGAATGAATAACAATGTATATGTATGTACCAAAGAATGAATTATTTAAGGATTATGATACCCTATCACCGTAGAGTATTGGAATACAATAGAAAAGAGATGATAGCGATTGATAAAACGATCATAAAACTTTGACATGATCAGAAAAAATAGCTAACTAATGAAGCTATTGTTTCACATAATTTGCTTATATATATATAATTGTGAATACTCAGATAATATAAACAGTTAATGGAAAACAGAGATGAAGAGATCATAAACGAGAAATGTCAAGAAGATAATGATTAATTTTCTCTAAAATATTGAAGTCAATCATCAACCATGGATTATCATGAAACTATTGTCTGACACATCACAATGCTTGACGACATTAAAGTCAAAGCTTTTCGACTCTCGTTTAGACCATGACTATGTTTCAAGCACAGAAAAAAAATGTATGAACGAATAGATGTAGTGTTTTTGAAATACCAAATTCTTGTTAACGTCTTTTCCAAGATTCCGAAAGAAAATCGAATTGTATTGTATATTTGTTTCTATTGAAAAATCAATAATTGCACATAGACGAAGTGAAACAATTACTGACTATATGAAATCTGTTCAAGAAGTGAACTCGATAAAATTGAAAATAGTCTTTTAGTACTCACTGGTCGATTTTTCAAACAAGTGCTACCGATTAATCTAGAATAATGATTTGTTTTTCATTGAGTGTTAGATTTAACATTGATAAGATTCGAATAATCCAATATTCTAATAAAATCAATTTATCGTGATAAAAAGATTGTTTATAAAATCAGAAGAACATGTATTACGATCAATCATTTTTACTCTCAATTATTTGTTTATCCATTTCTAATATACATTTTCTCTATTAAATACCAATAAAGAACAAATGCAATTGATAACTATTTTCTTTTCCTAATCTTACTTGAGTTTAGTAGCTACAAGAACAAGTATCAATCAATTTATCATTAACATAATGTCTCTCAATTAACGGAGTGACTATCAACCATCACTACTAATGATATGATTTTTTTGTACATATATTATGCAATGTGCAGAGTTTTTAGTCTTGTTTATTATTGTTATATTTGTATACCAAGTTTGGAATTTGTCATCCCTAAAGTTTCGTGTTCAGCAATAGTTAATGAAAACGACATATTCATACTAGAAGCCATCGATCTTATCGTAAGTTCGCTAGTGAATAATGAATCATCTCTGTTTGATACGTACATTTTGTATACACAGAATAGTATGAAAACTTTATTTGTTCATTTTCTAGTCCATTAAGTTAAACTTGTACAATATTATTTATCAAAATTTATTTTCATATTATCTCTTGAAAAAGTTAACCGTGTTAAATACTATGAGACAATAGATTTTGGAATCGACAAACGTTATCACTGGATTTCTATAGACTCAGTAATAGTAAAATTATGTTATAGCTTAAATTTTCTTTTTGTTTTTGTCTAACACATAATATTGAATATCGAATTACATTTTTTGAATTATAGTAAGTGCCCTTTTCTTTTTCTACAAATGATAAGTGTCTGAAAATACAAGTACACAAAAGGGCATATTGTACGAACTTGATCGATTATATTATTATCTGTTAATACATGCCTGGATTGTGTACGATGTTATCGAAGAATAATCACATGTTTTCAGTTAGACATTTTCTTCTCTCTTCTTTTATATCTATAAATATAAACAGATACAAATAGTATACATTCAGTCATATTGAATAACTGTTTTTTTTTTCGATTTACATATTGGTCATGCCTCGTGATAATAATGGTAAAATAGTTTTTCTATATTTTTGGTTTTTTAATTTAATTATTTTTTTTTCAGGTACTTTATTTGATGATGTGCATGCCGATTTTCGATATGACACATCACGTCGACTTCATAATACGAATTTAACAACAACAACAACAACTCGTATTATCGATGGTCATACATTTGATTTAGTCGGTCGTTATTCAGTACCGAAAACGATTGGGTCCGGTGCATTTGGTCATGTTATATCAGCATGGGATAATTTATTACAACGTAAAGTAGCGATAAAAAAAATTCGTTTACCACCATTAAATTCTGAAGAAGCTATGTTATTTTATTCTCGTTCATTACGTGAAATATGTATATTACCACCACTTAAACATGATAATATTGTTCAAGTCTTAGATTGTTATACATCAGCATTATGTGCTGAACAAATGACAGAGCTTTATTTAGTGACAAATTTAATGCGTCTTGATTTACATCAACTAATTAAAACAAATAAACAACGACCAAATGATATGAGAATAATTACTGCTAGTCATATAACACATTTTCTCTATCAAATATTTCGAGCACTTAAATTTATTCATTCAGCTAAAGTTAGTAAGTAATCAATAATTTTATTTCTTGTAAATAAATTGATACGAATTAAATTTAATTAGTGCATCGAGATTTAAAACCAAGTAATATTTTTGTTGATCTTGATGGACATTTACGTATTGGTGATTTTGGTTTGGCTCGTGTTCCAGAAGAAAATTGTGATACACCAATGACAAGTTATGGTTCGTTGTTTTTCAGTTGTTTTTCTCTATTTTAATACTCTTTCTTTTATAATAATTTATTATTTTTAGTTTGTACTCGATGGTATCGTGCACCTGAATTAATGTTATTAAATGGTATTTATACAGCATCAATGGATATGTGGTCAGTTGGTTGTATTTTAGCTGAACTTATTTATGGTCAACCACTTTATCCAGGTCGACATCATTTAGATCAATTACGTTTAATTGTTGAACATCGTTGTGGTTCATTAGGATTTTCATATCATCAACAGAAAACTGCTTATCCAACAATAACAGAAAAATCACTAAATTTACTTCGTCGTACATTATCCAAATGTCCGAATGAATATCCAAGTGTATTTTCACCACTAGATTCAAATGTATTTGTTCCTGGTGTTGATAAACATGCATTCGAATTATTAGAACAATTACTTCGTATGGATCCATCAGAACGCATAACAGCTGATGATGGTTTACGTAGTTGCTTATTTGATAATTATCGTAAAGAAGCAAGTGGAGAACCATCATCAGAAGAAGCATTTCAACTTGATTTATCACCTTATAATCTTCAAGAAATTCGTTCAATGCTTTTTCAAAAAGTTCGTCTTATTCATCAACAAATGCAAGATAAAGCACTTTTTTTAAATGAAAAAAAATTGGCTATGGAAGAAATGGATTGTTGTTAGAATGAAAAAAAAAGAAAAAGACAAATTAGTTATTTTCTTCTCTATGAATTGAGAAGGACTTTTTTTTTTATATTTTAGTAAGCTGAAATCGCGAAGAAGAAAACCAATTCTTTTTTCTTCATTTTTTTTAAAAAATATTTTACAAATGCAAACAGATCTCACCTGAAGAGAGTGTGTTTTGTAGATTTTTTCCGTTCTTCGTTTCATCCGTTTTTTTGTTAATTCGGTTTTTCTTGTTTCTTTTATTACTTTAATAGCATAGACGTTTTATTTATCTTTTATCATTTCTTTTATTTGGGTTGTCGTTGAACGTTTGTTATTTCAAAAACATATCGTATTATTTTAAATAAATAACAATGACATAGCCAAACTCTACTTTTTTTTTATATTCATAATGATAGTTCGAATGAAACTAAATTAGTTTCAATCAGAGAATGGCGTGATTCATTGAAGTGATACAGATTTCTTAAATTAGTTTAGATAAAAACATAATCAGAGTTTTATATTCAATCTTTTCGAATGTTATCTAAATTTGGATCAAACTTGAACTTAAATTTTATTCATATCCCTTTTAAAAATAATTGTTAAACAATTTTCAGCGGAAAAATCGATATGAAATGTTTCAAAGATTATTTTCTAGAGCATAATTCTTGTGAACATCATATCTAACGGATGAACTATAATCCATAAAATTATAGTTTTTCGCTTTTTACTTCGTTTACTTTCTTTTTATGAGAAATCTTTCTTGGGTATGCTCAGATAGTAAAGAATAAAGAGATTTAAAAAATGGCATATGTCCTATAAGTAAATACATCGTCGTATCTGAAAAAGTGTACTGTAATGCATGACTTGAAATCAACACTTTTTCCTAAAAATTGTCGTACTTGAGCAATCATACTTTTCTACGCTTTATATGATGGTGATTCTGTGTACCTTAGTAAAATCTTTTGTTAAAAGAAAGTTTATTACATAGCTGTGTTCGGCATCGCCCAGACTACAGAAAGAGGAAGTTTTTAGTAGATCAAGTATTATTGGAGGCATCGTTTATAATTATAGATTGTTTTTTTTATCGTTATCGAATCCATTCGTTCGAGGAATCTAACAAAAGTTTTGCAAGCTTATTTTGAAGAACTTAGAAATGTCCTTATGTACATCGCAGTACATCTTGTTGGTTGTGTGTCTTTAAACTCTACAGTAGCAAACAAAAGTCTTTGCCAGATCGAATTTTGACTACCGTACATGCTGGAACTCTGACAACGTGTGTGTAAATACTTCACCAAGAATAGAAGTCAGAGGCATGAATTCGTTTTCATGTCTTGAATACGAAAATAAATTATGACTATTTTTATTGTAAGGTTTCAAACGTTAAAAAATGGCTACTAAAGTATGCATCACCTGTAATCAAATACATGACTAATTTTTGATTTTTTTAAATGCAATTGAAACTAGTCTATGTTGTTTCTTTACTCAAAAGATCAGGTGATTAACTGAAAAATTATTCTCGCTACATTTCTATGAATCACCAGTATCAACACAGTGATTCTTGGGATACTATTTCTATCTAATATTGGACTTTTTTTACTGAGACTTTTATGAAATAATGTTTAACTACAGGCAAAGCTTCTCTAAAAATCTCAGCTCGATTCATTAAACTATTATCCAGTAATAATCTCCAAAAGACAGCAAATAGGTTTTCCTCGCCTAACTATGCATAGTAAAATAGCAACAATCTTAGAAAGAGTTATTAAACGTTGATACAATTAATAAAGTAAATACCTGAAACACACTGCTGAATAATGAAGAATCGATTGATCCACAAGTCTGTCTTTCTTCAGAGTTATAAAGTTAAAAGGATTGATTGATTTCATCCATCATCATTTCCGTTAAATTCATGTCTCTGCTCGACATTCTTGGTGAAGTATGTTCACACAAATCTTCCAGCATACAGCAGAGAGCTGGGCAAGTACGAGTACATATTGTACTCAAAGAGTTGGTATTCGTACTTGACACAAACTCGAGAAAACCCGTACTGTTTCAGTTCTACTACAATATTTATAGTAGTCTAAAGTCTTTAGCGAGAGACAAGACTTCTCTTCACTACTATAAACCGTTTGCATGGTGATAAATACAACTATATCGTATTTTAGTGTTAATTTTGTAATATCTAGTGTAAAAATCAATTTTTTTTTATGAACATCGAATAAAAAAAAGAAAATGAATTCAGAACTATGTAGTTCATCAATGGCTCAAAAATTATCTTTTGTCTGCTCTTTCCAATAGGGCGTATCTTGAAGAAATGTCAAGAGCACTTCCATTCTTGTGTATGCCATTTGATTGTTTATTTCTTTTATAAAAGTAAAGAGAAAGACTTTAAATTAATTCATAACAAAATATTACGAACATTGTATTTTTATGCATTGCAAAAACAAAATAAAGCTAACGCTACAAAAAAAAACAAAAAAACTATGCAATAAATGTGTTTTGAATTATTTGTATTCACAAAAAAGACAAAGGAATCATTCAGATGGATATATGTCAAATAAATATACAAAAGACTAAATCTATAAGAATAAATCACTGGCGTAAACACATTTAATATATAATAATTCGATGTGATCTACCCCATTCTGTAACATAAACAACACCCTGACTTGAAACAGTTAAACCAATTGGACGATCAAATTCAACTTTTAATAGAGCAAGATCATCATTTGATGATTCAGAATTTTTATCACTAACAATCGCTGAAAGTTCTCCAGTTGGTGTAAATAACTAAAATTTAAAAAAAAAAACACACATAGTTTTATATAATAAATAAACTATTATTATTTTACTTGTAGACGATTATTCACCCAATCAGCTACCTAAAAATATAATTATATTTATTATTAAGTAAATTGTTACTTAAAATAAATAAAAAATTACCATGAAAAATCCTTCATCATCAATAGCAACTCCTCTTGGATATCGAAATTCTCCCGTATCACCGCTTCCTAATTTTCCAAAAGTAAAAAGAAATTGTCCATTTAATGTAAAAACTTGTATTCGATGATTATTAAAATCTGACACAGCTAATATATTTTGTCGACAACAAATAAAATCTGGAGCATCAAATTCACCTTGTTGAGTTCCTTTTCGTCCCCATTGACGAATTAACATTCCATCATTAAAACGTATAACAACAATGCGATTATTTCCACGATCACATACATATAATAAATCATCATCATCACAACATATTCCAAAAGGAAAATGTAAATTAATTTGTGAATCTTGTCCACCAATTAAACGTTGAACTTGAAAATTATTTATATCATATACAACTAATCGATGATTACCAGAATCGGATACTATTATCCATTGATTACTTTTATTTATACACACATCACGTGGATTATTAAGTTCTTCAAATCCACGTCCTTTTCTACCAGAAGTTGAACGAATATGTTGACCATCGATTGTCAACATCTATGAATGAGAATATTTTATTTTTAGACAATAATTTTTCTAATAAAATAAAACTAAATATTCACTGGATAATTGATGAACTTTATTACGATGATTACAATGATATTTAGTATTTTCTGTCACATACATTTATTAAAGAATTTTCAAATTGATTTAATTTTTTGGAAGTTTACTGTAAGAGTTTCATTCAAATAGGTTCGTTTACACTGTTCTCCATCAATAGAAAAAAAAACTCATTTTAAGTCGCTAGAAATTTTATATGTGAATCAGAGTCAAATTGATGAGAAATACAATAATTTCTATCTTTTACTACGAAGTATTTCCGTGAAGGCCAGAAACTGTGTAAGAATCTTAAGACTGGAAAGACTTGTATAGAAAAACAATGAATAGTTTTTAATTATCGAGAGCAGAGGGAATGTGTGCACTTCTCCGCTTTTGCGGTCTCTCGTGAAGACATGAATAAAAGTAGTGAAGATTCAAACTTGGTCTGTGTTACATGAATTATCAACTGTCGAATGTATCAATATTAACAGAATTAAGTGTAGTTCCTTCGTAAGTAAATTTTTCTGTTCTCGTAAGGTGAATCTGACATTGAACATTCTTTTTGTAACTGACGAAAATTACTCTTTTCTATTACAAATCGTTCAATATAATTAAAATTTTCTAAACTTCTATCGACCTTCAATAACACACCTGTAATCGATGGTTCCAACTATCAACAACAATAAGATGTTCATTATTACGTGTTATTGCCAAACCACTTGGACACCAAAATTCAAGCGAACCATTTCCCCATTGTCCAACTTGACGAACTCCTGTTGGAGGTAGTAATTGTTGTCGATTATTATTATCATCGATTGACATTGGCAATGAGACATACTGATCCAATGAAGATACTGATGATGTTAGACTTAATTCACCAAAATAATCTTGTCGATGACGAATTGGTGTAAAAGAAATCTATTAACATATTTACAAATATACAAATAGAAGAAAAAAAAAAATAGTAAAAATTTACATCTTTTCTTTTAATTTTTAAAGTAGTAACAACATTTTGTAGAGTTGTTAAATGTTTCGTTGCAGTATTTTGAATTTCAATATATTTTTCATCAAGAATAGATTCATTTCTAATAGATAAATAATTTATAAAAATAATTATTAACATTTCGTTGTTTTATTCTTCTTTTTACCGTTCAATTTTCTGTTTTGATAATCGAACAAAATGATCAATTTCTTCTTTATTTTTTTCAAATTGTGTTAAAACTTTTTTTGATGCTCTTCAAAAAAAAAAAATATAAAATATTTATAATAAATCATTTATTACTTTTTAAAAATAAATTATTTACTCTAATTGTTGTGCAATCATTTTATTTAAATCATTTTTTAATTCTTTTTCTTGTTGTTTTATTAAATCAATTAATTCTTTTGCACATGTTGAAATTTGTTTTTTAACCGTATCACAATATGTAAGAAATGTTGTCACTTCCATATTAAGTGCATCTAAATTAAAAAAAACAACTTTTATATTAATAATTAAAAAGTTAAATATAAACCTTTGCATAGATCAGTGGATTTTTCTAAATCACTAAGAAGAGTACCAGTAACTATTGCTAATTCTTGTCGATGCAATTTTTTACAATCAAGACATACAGCTTTATGACAATGAAGACAATCAGAAAATGCATGTTTTTTATCACAGGCCTAAAAAGTAACAATATCTTATAATGAGTTAAGAATAAAAATATTACTTTCATATGCTGACAAGTAAAATCTCACAATTAATTAATAGCTTTTGAGACGGCACTATGTGCATTCTGTAGACTCTAATAAGTTATGAACACCATAAAAAAAGGAGTATTACTACTAAGATATTACATTTTTTAGGCCAATGCGGTGATCCTCCTAAGAAAAACTGGTTTTCGATTTTTGAATTAAAACTTTGTACACAGATAGGCTTTAATGAGAATAATTGAATTGATTGAATCCAAACCATTGAACAAAAATGACAAGAAAGGTTTTGATAGTTCCTACAACAACATCACCTGTCGAAAAAATATTTTCTCAAAATGGCTTTCTATTTCGACAGCATTGGACCTAAATGTCAAGAATGACATTACAAAAATTAACCATGCTAAAATCTAATCAGGGATTGATATAAAACTCTTTTTAGTATATTTATATATAAGTAAAGCATGAAACTTGAAAAAAGCTCAAGTCAATGGTTAGAAAAACGGTGATTTGCTCATCTTTGGTTTCATTTTTTTTATTTGCTCCTATCTTGAAATAAGAACATTGAATCTGTCGTTTTGTACAAGCGATGTAAAACATATATCTTTAGCATAGCCGTATATTAGGATAGGAATATAGATAAGACTTAACTCTTTCACAATAAACAATTTTCATTGAAGCCTATCTAAGCAAGAAGTTTCAAGTGGAAATTTTAAAATAATTTTTTCTGGTATTTCTCACAAAGATCGCAGCATTAACTTAAAAGATATTGTAAAATTGCAATATCCTGAAAATAATAAACTAAATACTCTTATTCTGCTTTTCAGAGGATTCATAGCTCGTTACGGTCAAGATGATACAGGTACTACCGACTGAAAAATGATTGATCAGTTGAATGACTTCTTTCGTAAGTTCTTTTATCTTCAAGTTGAACGATTGTTAAATTGAAGGAAACAAAAGAATGCAAAAATTAAAACACTAAAAATTTCCTTGTTTTTCGTAATTTTGACTGGTGGTAGTTCGAGACGATTGGGTTCAGATCCAAAAATTTTGAACTCGACTGGCTCTACTAGTAGTCTAAAGTGTTCCGGCGAAGCGTATTCAAACGTATATGTACAGACAAAAACAACATTTTAGAAAATAAAATTATACCACTAGAAACTACATAAAATTCTTTTCTTTTTCACTGAATTGTTTTTGGTTTTCAAGGTCATAGTAACAATTATACCTGACACTGTCGAGTAGAAACCAATTGTTCTGTTCTAATATCAAGTAATTGTTGATATGATAAATTTCGAGGAAATAAAGTTACACCAGCTGTAGGTACATCATGATTTTGCCGACATTGTGGACAAATAATTGTGTCACTACCAGCACATAATTCATTTAAACATTTTGTACAATAAGTATGACCACATGGAATTAAACCTATATTATCATTAGAAAAAAACATATATATATATTTAATTAAATGTAGAAAAAAACAGTTTAAATGAGAAAGACTTACGAGGTTGATCGAATCGATCGAGACATAATGGACCTAGAAAATAGTACAGAAAATATGATAAAATCTATACGATAAAAAGACACAAAATATACATTCAAGTAATGCTTCAAGATCCGTATAATTCACCACTCTTCGAAATTCTGGATTACTTGCCATAAAATCAATCGAATTTGATCAAGTTCTCGTAAACAGAACAAAGATGAACAGCACTAGTTTTATATTTTTTCTACAATTGGTTTATTCTAACCAATGAATTTCTTTTATACGCAGAAAGAAGAATTTTCCATGACGATGAATTTCTTCATGTTGTCTTCAATCTTCTTGTTTTTTTTGTTTCACTTCGATACGAGCACGAACAAGACAAAAATCATAACTATTTTATAAGGCAAAAAGTAAAAAATAAAATAGACATGAGTTCTAACTTTGAATTAGAAGAATTCAATGGACTTGGTACAACACTTGCACCACGTATTCCCAATGCTGAGAATCGAAATTTAGAATCCAAGGTAATAAAAACAAAACAATGAAATATCTGTTTGTTTGCCAATACAACTTTTATGTATTAGATTGAAACAAAACAACGACGTTTTCAATTAACACAAAATGAACTTGATGATAATCTTACTAAAGCTCATATGCTTGAAGATCATCTTAAAAATGTCCAAGATGAATTAGGAACAACACAAGTAATACAAAAAAGAAAAAAAAAGAAATTAAATTTTTATTTGCAAAATTTCTCTTTATATATAGAAACTTTTTAATGCACGTAAAAATGAAGTTGAAACTGAAGAACATCTGAAAATGCTCGATGAACGTGAAATAGGTCGACTTAAACAAGATATATTAAGACTTGAAAATGAAGTAACGAATATAAAAGATCGTAAAAGTACATTAGCGGTAAGAAAATATTTTACAAAACAAAATCGAGATTTTCTATTATGAATTTTTTTATTTAATTTAGGATGAAGTTTTTCGTGCAAATCAATTATTTGATGAAATGAAAGCACAAATGAAATGGGATCAACAAGCATTAGAAGCATGGCTTGAAGAATCAGCACAAAAAGATGAAGATGTTATGGCATTAATGAAATATACGAGACAAGATGAAGCTAAAGTTAAAGTATGAGCAACAAAACAAGGAATTCTTAATATCTTTTTCAAGCATTTATAATTTGCTTTTTTTTTTTTTTTATTTAAAAAGGAACTTATGTTTAAAACTGAACGCATGACAGAAGAATCAAATAAAAAAAAACGTGCTGTTGAAAGTGAAATTATGGATACAACTAGTCTTCAAGTACGAGAATATTGTCTTTTAATCACTAAAAGTTATACTTTGTTTTTTTTTTTTGGGGTCATTAGGTTGAACTTGATAAAACAGCAAGTAATTTTCGACATGCTCATCGTAATCGACAAGAGCTTATCAAGCGATGGGAAGACATTATAGAACAAATGTAAGCTTATGAAAATCAATCAATGTCATAAAATATGTTTGACTTAAGTATACGACGAGACCATTAGATTGAATCTTTAACCTATCAGAATATCAAGGACAGAATGTCTCAAAGTCCTGCATAAAAAACTTTTTTTCGACTTCGAAATGTCTTGTACTGACAGTTTTTGGAACTGCTCCTAAGGACTCTAGAAAGTCTGCGCAATGAACTCAAAATTAATTGTTTTTCTTCTCTTCATCATTTTACCAATCTTGAATGAGTAGAGCGTAAAGAAGACAAAAGCCGAAGGTCAGATAATCAATAAAGCTAGAAGTTTGTCAAATTTTTATGAACAGATAATTTCAATTGAAACGAAAATAATTCGTTTCGTAGTGCAAATAAAACATATTCAAAGTTTCTGCATATTATGCTTCACATTAATAAAAGAGTTATTAAAGGATTCTAATGGTTGAATTGCCTCCTACCAGACAAAAATATTCTTGAAGTCTCGCGTAGGATTTATGGTGAAGAGAGAGAAAGTTGTGGTTCGAATCAGAAATTTACGAGACAAACTTGCACTGCCTCGTGCCATTGCTCATGTGCGAGCGCGTCACACGTCTTTCTCATGTTTTTCTCTGTGCAGTGTTTCATCAGAGCTAATTCGTTTCTTCAGTGTTCTTTCAGGAAATCTTAAAAAAATGATATGGCAAAGAACACGTTCCATGCAAGTTTGCTAAGCGTTACATGGGCGTGCACTAGAGCCTGAAGCGATGATAAGCATTCAAGAAGAAACATATTAAAAACTTAACCGGTCGAAATATAACAACAAAATATTTGAAAATTATCGCCATTTTAAGTTTCATGTTGACAAAATTTTTCCTGAGTTTTGAATCAGTACTTGGCAGGAATCAAAAAAAGTTGATCTCATTTATATCTACTGGTATTCATTCTGTTTCACTCATCATGACACGTAGTAAATCATTAGTAGAAGAACAATTTACTAAGACTTCCTTGCTGAAGGCGAAAAAACTCTTTATCGTTTTCTTTACATAGATGCGGTAGATTACCATTAGGTTACCAAGTAAGGGATAACAAAAAATTTGTGAGTTTATCAAGAAATGACAATTTTTCGAAAATCGCAATTAAAATCAAACTCAAAAGTTTCAAAAAAATCTATGAGAAATACAGATTCTTCGATTTCGAAAATCTATGATCAAACTTCATAAAAAATTCGTAATTTTCGAAAAAATAGCCTTTCCTTAATAAACGCATCAATGTTCCTTTACCCGTTATCTGGTAATCACAATTGGCGGGCACTGATAATTTGCCTTCCTTAACTTTAAAATTTAATACTATAAGCATTACGTTGATAGTTTATTAATATGCTTTTTAGGCATCAACGAGATCGTGATATTGACTTATTAGCCGCTGTAAGTTTAATTTAATTTGTTAATTAATGAAAATAATAATAATAATAATTTAAATAGCAATTGGTTAAAATTAAAGCTGAAGCACGATCTGTTGAAGAACAAATAATTGAAAAACGTGAATTTTATGATAATGAACAACGAAATAATAATGAACGTCAATTACAAATGTCCATGGCTGAACGACAAGCAGCAAAATTACGAACGCAATATGAAGATGCTGAAAAAAATCGTTTATTATATGAAAATGAAGTTAATACAGACATTTTTTCGTCTTTTTTTACCTGATTAAATAAAAATAATCAATTTTTTTCAGTTATCCGGTTTAAGACGTGTTGTTAAACGAACAGAAAAAGATAAAGAAACTGCACATGCACTTCTTGGTCAAATGAAAAAACAATTAACTGATCGTCGACAATATCTTGATGATGTTACTGCACGTAAACGTGATTTAATTGAAAGAAAACGTGAAATATTAGATACAAAATATACAGCTGAAGAAAAAGCTAATAAAATGGATAAATTATATTTGGATGAACAGGAACGTGAAATGAAATTAAATAGTGAATTAAAATTATTATCGGAAAGAATGTATAAAATAACACAAGAAATATTTGATTTTAAAACTAAAGAAAAAAATTTAGAAGCTGATATTAATGGTTCAATGGTTACACTTAATAATTTACAAGCAAAAACAAATAAATTAGATCATGAATCTTTAAAACAACAAGAAGTACTTTATCATCAGGTATGGACATAAACATTTAGCTGTTCAATCCTTATGAATCTTGCTTTGTTCTCAGGATTTTGAAATTCAATCTCTTGAACGTCGAATAAATCGAATGCAAGGTGAAAAAAGTACCGAAGAACAAGCCGTGCTTGAACGAAAAATAGGTGAATTACAAACAGAACTACAACGAAAACGTGAAGATCATACTATGTTAACTACACAAACAAAACAAGTAGAAGAAGAAAAACGACGTTTACATAAAAATCTTAAAGAAATACGTGAAGATAAAGAAATTGAACAAAATAAAATTGAAGAACTTGAATTACATGCTGATAATGCACAAAGATTAATTAGAAAATTAACTGATGACAAAGAGGTTTTATCAAACTTTCGATTTTTATTTTAACAAAATAAGAATTAACGTTATTCTTTCATTTAGAATTTACTTGTCGAAGAACATTTAATGCGTATTGAATTAAAACGTCTTCGTTCTTTACTTAATACAAAAGCAGATAATGTTATGAATCTTGAAACACGTCGATTACAACTTCAAACAGTAAATAATAATATCAATAAAATTCATTTAAAACTCTTTATCTACGAATTAATATAGGCTATTAAAGAACGTCGTAGTGAAATAACAATTCATCAATCAACACTTCGTCAACAAATACGTGATGAAGAAGGAAAAACAAATGAAATATCAGCACAATTACATGATCGAATTACTAAAATAGAAAAATTAAAAAAACGGTTTTTATTTAATTTTCTATTTTTTTTTCATATTTAATGAGTATTTTTTTAAGATATGAAATTGTTAATATTTCAATGGCACCACCAGAAGGTGCTAGTGAAGAAGAAACATCACAAACATATTATGTCATAAAGGTAAAAAAATAAAAAGATCCAACAAACAAACACATTTACTTTTTTCTCATTAGGCTGCTCAAGAAAAAGAAGAATTACAACGTGAAGGTGATGAACTTGATGCAAAAAATCGTAAAGCTGAACAAGAATTATTAGCTTTACAGAATACACTTCGTATTATAAATAGTGGAAATAATCAAACAAAACAATCATTTAAAAAATTATCTGATTCAAGTAAATTTTTTTTAATATAAATTTCTGTTGTTTTTTATATTAATTAATATCATGTAAATTTAGGCGATGAAATAAGTCGACTTGAAGAACTAGAAGAACAATCACGCCATTTAATGGATAAAGTTCGAACAAAACGAAGAAAAGTTGAAGATATGGAAAATGATTTAAAAGTAATTTTCTATTAACATATAAGAAATCATATCATCCTTGTCGATAATGAAAAATTCTATTTCATGAATATTCGTTGAGTGCCATATGCTGAGAAAGAAAAAGAGAGATGTATAAGATTAGTATATTTATTTTGTTTAAATTCAAGACACATATGATTATTATTATAGAGACGGATTAGCGAAAATCGATTAAAAAAAACAGATTTGTATTAGCATATCACCATTGATGCGTACATCAAATCTAAAGGATTTAAATAAACTTCGATAAAAATTACTGAGATATAGGTTAACGAGGTTT